CTTATGGAAATCTAGAGACACTTCATCTGCAGTTCATATGAAAGTGCATTTAAATTGATCTGTTTTACACTACATTTAAAAGTTTGGGGTAAGATACTTTTATTCATCAAGGAAACATTACATTGAATGTGTCAAAAGTGACAGTAAAGTATTAAATTGTTACAAAAATTCCTTTTCAAATAAATGTTGTTCTTTTGAACTTATATAATCATGATATAATGTACCACGGTTTCTACAAAAATATTAAATCATGTAATAAGGATCATGTGACACGGAAGAGTAATGATGCTGAAAACTCAGCTTTGCCATCAGAAATAGAAGACATGTATATATAAATTTATATTAAAATAGAAAACCGTTATTAGAAATTGTAATAATATTTTGACAGTACTGATGGCAACTGTCTATATATAGTTCATTAGAGCTTTGATACATGTTCCTGGTATGGGAAATTTAACTTAATTAATATTTTTTAATTAAAATTTCACAATATTACTGTTTTTACTGTATTAATGATTAAATAAATTCCTTTGTGAGCATGAGACTTCTTTCAAAAACCGTACTATGCCGGTCCAGGGCTCTTGATTATTAATTGTGCAATCATCACTGTCTTACAGATCCCATTCTCAAAGTTCTTCCTTTCCAGTCGTGGAAGAATACAGGACAACCAGCATGTCCTCTGGTTAGATAAGGTCAGCATGACTATTTCCTTGTAATTGATATGAGCATCTAATCATTAATCCTTCTATTTCATCTGATGATATATTTATGAGAGTATTGTGGTGCAAATTCATACCTCAAACTCAAATTCAAAACTTGTTTGTGTGCTTTTAGGTAAAGAGTATTGGTTTTACATTGGGGGACAAAGCAGACGGTCCATTTCAGCTGGAGATTGACTTCATTGGTCTGTGTAACGACCATGCCCACACAGAGGAGTTTGCTTATGAACTTTACAAGAGAAACCCCGAGGTCTAATTGGATTAAAGAGTATTCAGCAAATCACAGATAACAAACGTTACAAATGTTTTATTAATTAAAACTTTGTATAAACAAATCATTGGATGGATTTTTTGCAAGCCAATATCACATACACACACACACACACACACAAAAAACGACCACATGAAGGACAAAAAAGTACAAAATTATAATTTATGACTATTGCTCAAGTTCAAATAGACATTTTGTGTGACCAACGTTTTAAGTGTCTACTGTTTTTTTCCCCAAGTACAAATGTAACTATTCACACTAAATACAATTTACCAGGCCATCTCTTTACACATAAATCAATGTTTAAGATATAAAATCCTCATCTATAAATGGTTAACCTTACTGCACATTAACCCATGTTAATAAAAGAGATGTTTACAGAAGAGTAAAAATGTAAAAAAGTTGGAACAAAACAGACAAAAGTTAACATGTACAGCGAGTGTCTAAAATAGCAAAACAGGAAAGACAGTTAGGCCATAACCAGGCCCCGTCTGGCACCCAGCATATTCTCTTTCTTCTGTTTTCGGTCTACTGTATGCTTGGCACGTCGCTCCTCTCTGAAAGTTTAAAAAGGTAAAGCATATTCCATGAGAAAGTCTATATTTTAAAATTCAATTGGCAAAGCTGAATTTGCACATGATCATTCAGAAAACATGTTAATGTGCAGAGTTTTCTTATTATCAGCGTTGAAAACAGTTTTGCTGCTTAATGTTTTCATGGAAACTAAAAATAAAAAAAATATTAATTAAAAATATAGAAACAGAAAGAAACAGTATAACTGTCTTTACTGTCACTTTTGACTGATTTAATGCATCCTTGCTAAATTTTTAAAAAAAATCTTACGGAACAGTATTTGATCTCTCAATGGATAATCAAAATAAGCATCTAACCTGGTTTGAACTTGGTGCTGTTTATAGTTTTTCTGGTGTGAAGGAACAGTCTGAGATTTATTAAGTTCTGTGTTTTCCTGTGCTCCGAAAGGCTTCAGTTTTCCTGCAGAAATTAAAGACAATGAATAGCAAGCAGATATAAGATCATTCAATTCAAGAAAGCAGTGCCTGACACGTTAGTCCCAGGCATTACATTATATATTTTTCTGAGTGTGGACAAACCTTTGTGTGGTTTGTAGGTGAGTGGTCGAGAGAGACTGGCCTTTAAATCAAATGTATTCTTGTTGGTGGTACCAGGTGTGACTGACATGCTGTTGTTCCCATTAAAAACAAATGGAGTAACTCCTGCAAAAACCAACAACAAATTAAACCAATGCGTCGTAAAATCATTTATAAAAATGATTTGTGCAACACAATGGAATCACCCATACCAGGTGTTTTATTGATGGTGTTGACACTTTTGTTAAGTTCAGGTTTAGTATGAACATCAGATTTTCTTCCCGGGGTGGAGGTGAGAGGGACAAGAGGAGACATACGAGCTGGAGTCTTTACCAGAGAACGCTTGTATTCGTTATCGTGAGTGGCCTGTGAGAACCTAGAGACAGAAAGTCGAAGTGAAAAGTCACTTTATTTGTCAATGCTTGGCTTTAGCACCTATATTTAACTTGATCTCAATACTAAAAGCATTTCAAAAGTAAGTGGATTAAACTAAGCATACTGATGTATTTACCTGACATTGATTTTATTGGTGGTGAGGACTGTTGGTCTGAAGGTGGCGCTGTCCTTCAATGCAGACTTGCTGGCAGTCTGCTGAGTGAGCCTGCGTCTTTCTGGCATTGGTTTCTTCTCCTGCACGCCAGGACTGAAGAGAGATGCTCGGCTAGGAGGCACCTTCTAATGGGAGACAATCCCAAAGCTTGCTTATGATTCAGGTCAACCTCTTCCAGAAATAAACTGGTTTGACTTTGACACAATACAACTGTCATTCGACAAGATGTGAGATTTATTTCCATAGTTTGAAGACCTGATAAAAATGTTAATATAACTAAAACTTAAGATGGACTTAGGCTTTCACATCTGAAGTCTTCATATGCCAATTAATTTTTTTTTTTAAATGACACAAATTTATGATCAGGATGTGTGCTAATTCAAAAGGGACAGCTGATGGGAATTGTTTGGTGACTTACAGTTTGAGCCTTCGTCTCAACCGATTTCTTCAGCGTCTTTTCTGACAGCGTCTAAAATTACAAAAATAAATTTATAAACCACTAATAGTTAATAGTTTTAGTTAAAGGACAAGTTCGGTATTTTACACTTAAAGCCCTGTTTTAAGATTGAGATAGAATGGTTAAGATTGAAATTTGGACATGTGCATTTTCGGTTTCTGTGGTTGCAACCACAAAAAAACAAAAATTCTCATACCATTCTTAACCATTCTATTTCATCAGAAACGATCTTAAAACAGGACTTTAAGTGTAAAATACCAAACTTGTACTTTAATGATAATAACCCTAGGTCATTGTTACCTTCAGCTCCTTGACTGAATTCCTGATCACCTCCATTTGTTTGTTCTTCCTTTCCACATACGAATCGATGGACTCCAACTTTTTGAAATGAGCCTCATGGAGTTTTTTGAAATCTAGGAAATGGAGATTTGCAAATGCTTTACTGAAGGGCAGAGCTCAGAATATTTGGTTACAAATGTTAAACGAGCTCAGACAGACTGGAAAATATATTTTCTTTTCACATATATAGTTGGAAGTATCATATTACTAGGAGTTGTCGGCCGCAGCGGAGGTTTCCTCTTCATCAGACCTTCATGACGGGGAATCTTACCCACAGTTCTTCTCCCCACACCTGCAAGATATACATTTTAAAAGTCATCACCGCATACACTGTTCAAATACAAATCAATAAATAACTTCCTCAACTCCCTTATCTATTAGAAGTAATTAAAAGTATGATTGATAATATCTACTCTCCACAAGCAACTTGAAATTGAGTATAATTGTTCAAGCCTCACCTTCCACACTTGGCTTTGTAGAAGCATCTTCAGAGTCTGGATTGGTTTCCCCAGATTCTAGAGCTTTCTCAACAGTATCCTCTTTAGTAGAGATTTCAGGTGGAATCAGAGTCTGTGTGTCCTTGGCTGAGGACACCTTCCTTCTCTTGGAGCTCGTTCGGCTCTGCTCTTGTGCCTGCTTTTCTTCAGTCTAAACATTACATATTAAAAACAATTCATTATGCAATGACATAACGTTTATAAATTAGTATAAAAGATATGTTCTGTACATATGCTCGTGTATACCTGAGCAGTGACAGGTGGGAAGTCACTGAGCTTTCTCTTGGCAGTGCGTCCTTTTGCTCGGCGCTCGGTCACAAAAGTTGCCGTGTGCGCGCTTTGCGCGTCAACGGGCGGGACAGCATCGTCGTCGTGCGCGTTGGCTACATCATTCCCCTGCAAACAATGCAGTTTTGCTTCTGTTATTACAAATCTTCACATTTTGAACAGATTAAGGGTGACGATAAACAAAGATATTACTCACATTTTCCGATGTCTGCTGTTGTTGCTGTTTTGAAAAGTGCTCTTTTAAAGCTTTCAATAGTTTTTCAGCCTAAATGCAATTAAAATCGAGCATTTAAAAAAATAAAAATCACACAGCCACAAAGTAATAGTTAAATTCCATATATGTATATGTGTGTGTGGATATAATGCAGATCATTTAATACACATCATGGGTTGGCAGCGTGCAAACACAACACAGCACTGCATAACGTTACTTGGTAAACTCGATTTACCTTTATATTCGCTTTCATTCCAACTTCTTTAGCGAGGCGCTGCAACTCCACATATTTAAGCGAGTCCAAATCCATATTGTGGATAAGCTTATTGCCAAATGCAGAAATGTAACGTAATACCGACACTCTCTCTTGTACAGATCGGTTTGTTTAGGTGGGATTGATAGCCGTTTGAAAAATGAAATAACCGCGTTTCAAAAACAGCCCTCTCCGTTACATGATTGGTTGAGAAGCCAATGACGACGCTGCACTACACCCAATGAGAAGTGGCTTTTATGTTTCGTTGGTTTTGATTGGCTGAAAGGCTTGGGCAAAATCCGGGTTTGATTGAGGGGTTTGGGCGCCACCTAGAGGTCAAACCAATAAATGAATTAACGTGGTTGCGTCTTTTGAACTGTTGTTGTGTGACTGAGTGGAGCAAAGACAAAAGTAGCTACTAGCTAACAATGTCGAACAGCACTCGAAGTTTGCTCGAAAGCTCTTATGATATCGGTCCATGTGACTCGACACAGACTAGTTCAATTGCAGAACAGCTAAGAGAACTGACAGACAAAGAAATGCGTATGGTAGATTATAGGAATTGCAGTGTTCTCCAATGCCTGACATGCAACACAGTGCTTGGAGACTCTCTCGGCATGTGCGGGGAAGTCCAGAGCCTAGAGAGTATCATTTGTTTGAGTAAGTTGTAATTTACCTCATTTTAAAAGCATGTAGATTAAAAAAAAGGTGCAGATAGATTCAGTCATGAAAAGTTTTGTAAAATATACTAAACACGTGGGTAGGTGTGTAGTAATAATCTCTGCAAAAACATTTGAATATTTCCCTTTGCAGATGTTACTGAGGATGTGAGGGTGAATAAAAAGCTGGAAATGAGTTTGATTGGTAAACTGGCTTTCTCGTAAGTATTGCTTTCTATTGATCTCAGCCGCTTCAGCTCATGTCCAGCATGTGTCGGATGGATGTCCCATTGTGATTTCTCTATCTGTAGCACCTACCAGGTCCTTCACTGTGCTGGTTGCAATGGTAGTGTTGGCCTGGTTCTTCACTCCACCCCAGAACACCTGTCTGCTTTACGAAATCTCTTCCTTTTACGAAAAGAACTAATCAACTGGTGGGAGTAGTTTATAATGATTATAAATTTGTAATGGTTTTTTTATTATAATTATGACAGCCATATTTTTATTTTTACATGTTTATATTATATTTTAGCTACATGCTAAGAAGTGGCACATGTGTTAATGCCTCCAAAATCAACTTCAAACACAGACTCGTGGACAAAAATATTAAAGAGGTTTGTATTTATGCAATCACTGCTTATTGTACAGAAGGAGAGCAACATTATTTTCTATTAAATGATATTTTAGGCTGATTTAACAGCTCCTTAACTGAATTGAACATTCTGGATTTTCTTTCTCCTTTCTCTAGCTGAAGCAGTATTTAGAAGCTCAACTGAAGCAGGTGAATATTCTGGAGGACATGATGGAAAAATTGTCCACACACACAACGTAAACTAAAGAAATGGCAGGTGTGGAATATGTACAGCTTTCTTGTTGTAAATAGAGTATTTATATGTTTGTGTGATGTATTGAATGGGAGTTTGGTTCTTCAAAAATGTGCGAAATATTACCTTGCTTGGTTACTATGTTGCACTTTGTTCATTGTTCATATTATTATAAATAAATAAATATAGCAGGAAAAATGTCTAATGTGATCTCTTAACCTACAGAAAAACAAGAACACTGAAGAAAGGAAAGGAAACAACACATTTTATGATTGGCACCATGCTGCTTTTTTATTGCTAAAATGTAATATTTTGTACAAAATCATGCGGGGTGCATCTGTAGTGCATAGATCAGACTAAGCATAGAGTTTCACATTCAGAGGCAAAATCGTCAATACAAATCAGGTCGGGCAAAGCGTATAGACTGCATTATTGGCATTGAACAAAAATAAGCTGTCAAATTTTATTTGTAGGTTTTTCCATTTAAACTCAAAATTGTTAAGGCTTTGCTAAAAACGTATTGTATCCGACTTTGCCTCTTGAATCACAGACTCGTAACAATTTCATTTTCATCATACAATATTCAAATCCAAAAAGTAGCATTTCTTAATGAATACATCTGTGAATAATTTACAGTAGAGATAAACCTTTGGGATTTCATGCATTAGAAAAAGAAAGTCACAACATTGGTCCATTCATAGATTTAGTTATCACATTTCTGCATAAATATGTTCAAGCTAAGCTCAATTATTGCATGCAGCACAAAACATTTCTTGTCCACTTCTACCATGCATCAGCAAATGTTGTTTTTTGCACTCTTATTAAAAATACATGTAAATTCCCAAATGGATCCTTTATATACTGGATGTATTGTGGTACATTTTATTTACCCAGGATTCACTGATGTAATGAATCATCAGAGTGTCTCAAGCTACTACCCAGAACACTGCTCATATTGCCGTCAATGAAAACAAGCATACAGCTTATGTGCGTTCCACTATATATATATATATATATATATATATATATATATACATACACATACACTTCCTATCTACTTTCTTCCACCTGTCCAAAATAAAAAGTTCTTTATTTTAATATTTGTCACACCCACAGTGCTACCTTACTTCACATATTTATTTGGTGACCGTGTAAAATGGGGCTGTTTTGTTCTATGAAATGTATATAGTTCTGTATGAGTGATGGGGTGTTCTGAATAAAACACTTACCACTATCACAAATATGCTACAGATTTCTATTTCACACCAATAAACTACTTTTGACACTATAATTCATGCATGAACTGATTATTGCTTCTAAATCATGAACTTAATACACATCATGGCTTGCATATCTTCGAGTATATTTAAAAATATAGTTTGCATTCCAGTCATTGAGGTATTTATCTACATTACAATGCTTTGATAATTGCTTTATGCCACTTAATATTCTACATGTTACTTTAAAATCAAGAGTTTCTGCTACTAGAAATAATCTACCCACAGCTCTAGTCCGAGACAATAATACCTGATGGAAAAATGCAATATTAGAGGTATGAATACAAACACAGTTCTAGGTTACCCTTTCTAATCAGGAGGAGAGTACTCTATTCTCCCTTGGGTCTGATTATTACAGACAAAAAAAAAAAAAAAAACTTTAAGGATTTATCTTGAAACAGGTATCGAATTAAACTCTTCAACACATGTAATATCTTCTAAGTTAAAGGGATACTCCACTTATTTCGGAAAAAGGCTAATTTTACCACTCCCCCAGAGTTAAACAGTTGGGTTTTACCGTTTTCAAATGTTTTCAGCCATTTTTTTTTATATTTAGAAGAATATCAGTAACCAGGCAGTTTCTGGTCTCATTGACTTCCATGGTATATTTTTTTCCTACTATGAAAATCAGAAAATCGGCACATTGGATTTGAAAACGTTAAAACTCAACTGCTTACCTCTGGGAGAGTTTTAAAATGAGCATATTTCCAAAAAAAGTGGAATATTCCTTTAGCAAGACTTTTTTTTGCCCGTTAGAGACTTTTGTTTTGATCCAACTTGACTATTTTGGTCCCAGAACTTAATTTTTTTACAGTACAAACTAGGACAAACTCACACAGTGCTTTTGAAACATACATGTATTTCAGCATGGCTAGCCGCACGTCAATACCAACCGCCATTGTTCTAATCCTCAGCATGCTACAACACATTATTATTAACTAATAATGACTCCCCATGAATTAAAAAAACAAAAACTCTGAACAAGAAAAAATGACTCACCGAGTCGCTTCTTAATCAAACCGATCAAGGTGTGGATGCTGCATCCATGGTGGTTACTAGAACTAAATCTTTGTCTGCCTAATTTTATTTTCTAAACGACTTTATTATAGCATATACTGAATGTCACTACGACTATTAAACTCAGCAAGCATCGCTACCGTACATGCATGGCCACGTTTATGCTGGCACTACAAATCCCGCCACCTTAAAGCAAGCGGATGAAACTATACATCATTTAATGGAAGACATTGGTGATTTTGTTGTTTTTGCGAACAACTTGTCACTTGTTTGTACAATATACATATTCATCTCAAAACAAGACAAAGGAAATAAACAAATATTGCACATTTCCCACACTGAGGCCTCACTACTCTTCTTACTGCGTACATAACACTTTTATTTCTACCAATCCGTATGATAGAAACTACTATACAAACAAAACAAACATTAGGTGCATTTTCTCCTTACAGATGAAGTTAATTTCCTATTTTCACAGTGCACTGTAGCTGAGGATCGAGCACAGGCTCTCTACCCAGAGACCAACTTGCCATAATCTATTTGAGATGTTACATTAAACATATTAAACTATTAGCTATTAACTATTTTTGACCGTTGTGACCAGTGCCAAACATGTAACCATTTTTCTGCCTTTCTTCAGGCCTAATGAGAAGGATAACCATGAGAATGTTACTGGTTTAAAGTGATGTGTTTATCTCGCCCTTCATGTTCTCCTTGAGAACATATAGGACAAATATACAACCAGTCGTTTTTTTTAATCCTACACCTATTAATAAGGTAATGTACAAGGGATGAAACATCATGACTCCTCAGACAATGACTATTTCATAGACAATGGTTATATTTATATAACAACGAGAAAAAGAAATGTGAATATAGTTAGATCAGAGCGCTTGCTGTGTGGGTCTGAGCTGTGGTAACTTCTGAGGTAGTAAAATAATTATATTTCATCATGTCCTGCATCTCATCAGAACCCCACCACCACTAGAAAGGTTTAACTGTGGAATTTATAATGCGTATGCCTGGGTCAGTGTGCCACCGTCTATCTTGGTATGTCAGTACAAGTACATAGAAAACATGAAGAAAGGTTCATGGTTTTGCTGAAGCACCAATATCAGTTCAGAGATGAGAGAAAACATATTTTGAAGAGAGCCTTCTGTCTACAGTATGTAGTCTCATTTGTAATGACTAAATAAATGACGCAGTAGTGCTTTACTTGTATGTTTGAAGCTAAGTTATGGAAATAGTCAGTTGAGAGACAGGAGCTGGGACACATCTAGGCACTTAGTCTGCAGAAAATAAAATTCTGGGATGAAGCTACTTCATCTTGCTTGCAAGATTTAGTTTTTAAACGTGCATTTGTTTTACCTGCAAATCGGGTGCGCTTTTGCTCTTTCCAATTTCACTTTTTTGAACTCAACCTGCAACTATATAAATATCCACTGGGTTTATTTATAACCAGATGATGGTTCTTTACTGTGGCACAATTAAGTTTTTTGGACACATGAGGAGTTTATGGTTCTTTCATGAATAAACACAACTTCAGTTGTCATCTTCAAAGTGCAGAGATGATATGATCATAGACCTGGGACAGTTGGTATGCTGAACAAACACTTCCCTGAAATATCGCTGGAGGAAGGTCAACTTATCAGGATGGAGGACAATTTGAAGAACAAAGACAAGACGGTCTCATCTGCAACAGATCAGATAAGGCAAGGACGTAAGCCCAACAATGACACAATATCAATTACTCTCTTTATTTTTGCTGTACCAATATTGATTATTAAATCCCAATTGATAGATCTTTTTGTTGATGCATGAAAAAAATGTATCTAAACATTACTTATTGCAAGCCTCCCATTCAATATTCACAATAAGCTTTGACTTCTAACAATAAATACCGTTTTGATGCTTTTTTTAAGTGGCGTGATAGTATTGTTTCAACCACAGAAACAATGATTATGACACTTAACATTACATTTAACTCAGGAAAGGCATTTAATGTCCATAACTCGTGAATTATCTTGAAAGAAAATGACTAAAATGCTAAATATATGTACAATATCACACATTCATTCATTCATTATATTTTTAACTAAACATGTCAGTGATGTCTTATTATAACGTATAATATAATATTATAGTAATATACACATGCCAGGGTTGTGCATTTTTCAGTTGAAAACTGACATACTGTACCTGATAATTCTCCAAATTAAATGTAAATCAGAATTTAACCATATCAAGAGCTTTTGAGCTGAATCAAATTAAATCTGTGTCAATACTCAGCCCAACAAGTCAAGTATCTTGTGTTATTTCTGCTGCACAACTGACCTACCTGGTCATGAGTTCCTTTCTGGACTGTTCCTTTCTCTTCTTGTCATGACATATGAGGGTCACTGATTTGATAAGACAAAGCAGTTTAATTAATATCTGCATTTTCATTTAACAATGTAGCCATTAGTTCTACTGCACTTAATTGAATATTGATGCACAATCAAATAATGTACATCTCGACTCATGCACAATGCATGATCACCTATGCATTGTGCAGGGGTCGAGATGTAGCGTTACATTATTTGATTGTGACGCAAGTGCTGGAATGCGAAACTGCAACACAAAGATTAGACAAAGCCAAGCTCTTGCAGTACAAGTCAATCCTTATCGTACACTTACCGTCTCCGGTGATCTCGTGCTGGTATAAAAGCGAGTGAACTGGAACGAAAAGTCATCCCTATCATAACGTTACTCGTTGGTTGGAGTTCAACGGGCCAGGCTCTGAAATGTTCAGTGAGCCTGGCCCCGCTGCGCTGCTGCGGCAGTGGACTGCGCGCTACGCCATTTCAATCCCGTCACCGTGTGCTGCTGGTGGTGCTGCTCTCACTGGCTCTGCAGCGGTGGACGCGCTCTTCCGGCGCGCACCCGTGCGCATCGTTGTCTGCGCTCTGATTGGTCAGCAGAGCGATCCGTCAGCCGAGCAACACCCGCCTTCTTGGACAAACGCAAGCGTACAGGTGGAGAAATATGTTTATATAGGCTATATTAATAAACAATGAACACTGTTTTGTTTAATAATTTCTTTGTTAAACAATCTGAAGTGCCGTAACAATAAGAGTTCCTTTATTTCTACATGTGCTCAGTTTCTTCTGTATCAACCGTATCAACACACATTACATAGCACACAGTGACCTCTAGTGGTTTTCTCGGGTAACAACATCATCTGATATCTTTGCAAACACCATTATAAATAACAACCAAACGAAAGGGAGAAAAACAGAAGAAAAAAATGCCACATGGAATCAAAAACACGATACGAAAACAAATGAACAGGAAAAAAACATCGTGAATAATTTACATACTTAACCTGACTATTTAGGAAAACTTCAAAATATTTAAAGTCTTGATGGCTTCAAGGTCTGCTATGCTCACCAAGGCTGCATTTATTTAATCGAAAATACAGTAAAACAGTAAAATTGTAAAATATCCTACAGTTATATTTATGTTAATACATTCAGCATATTTTTTCAGCATAATTACTCTTCAGTGTCACGCGAACAATGCTTTAGAAATCATTAAAATATGATGATTTTCGGCTCAATAAACATTTATTATTATTAATGTTGAAAATGGTAGTGCTGCTTAAAATTATTGCGGAAAACCGAAAAAAATCAAAAAAAAAATCACAAGAACAGCATTTATTAAATGTGTTTGTACATATCATAAGAAGATGTAGGCTAAACAATCTTTACTGACACGTTAGGTCAATTTAATGCATCCTTGCTGAATTAACCTTTTTACTCACTGTTTTATACTGTAGGCTATATGTAAAATATATGTTCAATAAATCTGAATAAAAACACTGCATTTCATTAACGTTTCCAAACCGGTTCTGTGTAATGTAATATAGGCTATGAGCAGCCATTAACACTATGGAGAGTGTGACAAAATATACTTCATAAAATCATAGACAGTAAAAGCATAAACTACACCTCAGACAGACACACACGATGTGCTTTGATCACGCACAAGCTGAACACGCACGCGCGCGGCGCTCACGCTTGCCTCCTCCCCCTGCTCACTGCGCGTGCGTGCGTGCGAGGTACAACATCAACAGAATGAGCCCTCCTCGTTTACTGTCAGAAATAAAACAAACTCTTTATTATCCAAAGTAATTAGTTCTGTACCTAAGTATTGAGTGCGTTTCTGCCCAAATCCTACAGTCGCCTTATCCGGACTAAACTCCGCTGTTCAAAGTGGTAAGAGATATTTTTTCCGATTTCTCAAAATTAGATTGTGCAAATGCAACAGTGCTAGGCCGCAGGCTTATAATCGATCATTCATTTATTTCTCTGAGCGTTAAGACTGAAACACATCCGAGAAATGTTTGTTGCATTTTAAGGCAGTTTGGTTTCAGAAAAAAACTACATGTCTTTCAACCTACGTGTTTAACAGCAACGCTTCCGCAAAAGTTGGATATCAATAAAGGCAGTGCTGCAAAACACAAGAGCGATCAGGAAAGATTTTTCATCGTTTTATGCAGAAAAAATATCTGTAAAATACTAACCATAACACAAATGCATTATTTGGGGATGCTATAGGGAGACCCCATCGTTGCACGTGCATTGGTAAGCCTATAAAGCTGCATGCATGTGGTCTTTTGTCCATGAACTGTGCATGAGACCAGTGGTGATGGAGCTCTCTATGGTTGCCTGTGTTTACATTGGTATAAATCTGCTGGTGCAATGAGCCCTTAAATGACAAACCATAATGTACAGTCAGACTCAATGCAAATGGGTTTGATTCAGTAATTATAAAGGCATTTTAGTAATTTTCATGTTTTACATCAAGCCTTCAGTCAGATCATGAAGTCCATGCACATGTTTCTGAGCCTTTTGATCTTGTGACAGCAAGCGCCTTCTCACTGCTTTGACAATTGCTCCCATAAAAGGTTTACGATGCATCTAGAATGAAAGTTGTGAATGTGAAAGTTACCTACAGTAATAATATGAGGAAGAGTTTGTGAACAGACAATTAGTAAATTCTTTTGGTTACAAGACCAGTAGTGTTGGTAACTTACAGTAAAAACAGACTCGCCAGTGACAAATAAGTAAAAAACTATCAAGTAAAAACTAGTCCAGACATAGTTTTATCACAAATGTGATACTGCAGCATGTTGCATATAGCTTGAAATTAATGACATGACAATAAACCAAACGTGAATTTACTTGTAAAAGGTTTGCCATCATGAGAATAAATAAAAAAAGAGTTATTTTAAATTGCAGTAATAATTCACATTTGTATTTTGATCAAATAAATGCAGCCTATGAGTATAAAAGACCTATTTCAAAAACATTCAATCTTAGCATAGAGTGAATGATTATTTGATATGATTTAGTGTATATCTGACCTCGATTTTTTTTTTTTTCACATTCAGTCTTACTATGTGTTTGGAGCTTTATTGTTGTGGTTTGTTTTCCTGCAGGTATCTAAAGTGTAACCAATTTAGACAGGGGAAGGGCGGATCTGGAATGGCAGGAGGAAGAAGAGGAGCGAATAGAACGACATATTGTCGTTCTCCGCTGAGCAGTGAGACAGGCTCCGTTGGCAATGGCAACCATTCCACCAGCTCACCTGTGACTGGTGTGAGGTCACGGACCAGGTGAGGGTAAAGCTACACATACTAAACTAATGTTCTATTGCTTTGCTAAAATACTCCTATGTAACCCACTTATATCAAATCCGTGTGATCATCAGGAATGGGTCCGGAACGGGAATGTCCAGCCCTCCGTTGGCCACTCAGACGGTGGTGCCACTGAAGCACTGTAAGATTCCGGAACTCTCCATGGACCGGAACGTCCTGTTTGAGCTCCACCTGTTTGTGTGCCATCTTATAGCACTGTTTGTGCATTACGTCAACATCTACAAAACCGTGTGGTGGTACCCCCCGTCACACCCACCTTCACACACCTCTCTGGTGAGTCACGTCTCAAGGCTCAAAAATGAAACTCCACAGAAGCCTTCAATCCTATTTTTTCTTTTTCTTTTCTTTTTTTTTTCAGAACTTTCACCTAATTGACTATAACATGTTGGTGTTCACCATCATAGTTCTGGCACGCAGGCTAATTGCTGCCATTGTAAAAGAGGTAATGTGCATTATTTTAGATCCGTATGTCATTTTAACAGTTTTTAAAAAAATTAACGAGTAGTGTATCATCATTTTTGCCTTATTTCTTTCCTCCAAAGGCATCACAAAGTGGGAAGTTGTCCTTCCCACACTCTGTCTTCCTGGTGACGGCTCGTTTTGCCGTCCTGACTCTTGCAGGATGGAGTCTGTGTCGTTCACTCATTTATCTCTTTAAGGCGTATTCTGTACTTAGCCTGCTCTTCCTCTGCTATCCGTGAGTAAAAATCTTAAAGATTTTAAAGTGGTCAGTCAGAATTTACAATCATAGCTATCCATTATGATATTTTAATTTTTCAACACTCTTCTCTATCTTTCCCCGTCAGGTTTGGAATGTACATCCCTTTCTTCCGACTCAGCTGTGATTTCCGCAGGGCTGGATCCATGTCCCCGTTAAGCGGCATGAGTTCTAAAGAGGTGGCCGGTGCTGCTTTGGGACGTGGGGGGCGGGACTATCTCTCCGTCCTGAAGGAAACATGGAAACAGCACACCAGTCAGCTGTACAGTGTTCAGCCCATGCCCACCCACGCCTGCTGTCTCTCTCCTGACCTCATCCGCAAAGAAGTGGAGTACCTGAAGATGGACTTCAACTGGAGGATGAAGGAGGTGTTGGTTAGCTCCATGCTAAGTGCCTACTACGTAGCGTTTGTACCTGTTTGGTTCGTCAAGGTGAGTGCATTGACAGGTTTTCTGTACACTCACGTGCTTATGCATTAGTGATATATGACCACTTTTCTGTGGTCTTTTCTGTGGCTCGGTTACGGTATATTTCCTGCTTTTTTGTCCTTAGCCAATCACATGCCTGACTTTGACTTGGTCAACTTTACTGTAGTGAACACTACACAATGACTAGTGGATTGATTCAGCCACATATGTTTAAACCAGAAACTGATTTAGAAGAAGTGGAAGAGCAAATTATACAGGCTTGTCTACAAGTCGATGTATCAGAATGGTTATGCGTTTAATGTATTGCTCTCTACAACGTCAGAAACATAACAGTTGATAATGATCAGCCTTTTGATCAGCAATGGTGTTGTCTTATGAATTTGTTCATGGTTTGTCTTAAAGAATATTAAAACACAACAGACATATAAACAACATTAAAAACATGATTTTCACCACAGGAGGTCTTTAAGGGACAATATTTCCCCCCTTAAATTGATTTTCTATAACATATTTTACATTTATAAATACCTTTATCAAATAAATAATGTTTTAAATATAAAATGTTCAATAGAGAAATAAGCATCGATTGTAAAAACGAAGTGACACTGCCAGTAGGTGGCGGTAAGTCACTCTTAAGTCAGTAAGTCAGAAAAGAAACAAGTGGCTTTATTTTGAATGGGTCAATGAATCATTGATAAACAGCGCCGTGTGTTGCAGTTCGGCTGTGGCTTTCGTTGGAACAATTTTTTGTTGCAAAACAGAACAAGCAATACAAAATGTTCATTACTTATTACTCTTCTGAATCTGTTTGTTGAATTGTTGTATAAAATCAATGTCACATTTGCAGTCGTGTGGATTTTAGGGAAAAATTGCATTCTTGCTGCTCATATAATATATTTTCAACATTAAAAACAAGAACTCACATTGTTTTTCTTCCATATAGCAGAGAGTTTGAGTCTTAAATCGATCTGTTTGCACAGTCTGTCTATATTTGTTCTCCATACTAGTAAGTGGTTAATCCCCATTTTTATAAAGGTACATTGTCAAGAGCTGCAGTAATGTAGCTTGATTTTGCATGCAATGCTCGCTGCTTGTTTGGATGCAGTTAGTTTTCACTGCAAAAGAGGATTTCATTTGATTGGATGATATTGGATGTTTGAGGACCCCCTCTGTTACCTCGCGTACCCTCAAGGTATAGGTATCCCAGTGTAGGAACCACTGACCTAAGGGGAAAAATTTGTCCTCCTATTTAGACCAACACATGCTAATTATTTTTCCAGCTATTATTTTTATGGGTTTCTGTCCTCAATGCAAAACTTTGGTTTAGCGTCATGGGTTCTGTTGACATAACTCTGGATGTATTTTGTGTGAACTTGTCAACATGTTCTTTTAAAAATAATTTTTCTATGCAAGCTGCTTAAAAATAATGAATAATCAAATAAATGGAAATTATATTTGCCTATAATGCATACAAAAACTACCATCCAAAAGTTCGGGGAAGTAAGATGGTTTACTTTTTTTTTTAATAAGTCTCAAATGCTTAACAAGGCTGCATTTATTTAATCAAAAATAGTTAAAACATTAAAATTGTGAAATATTATTACAATTTAAAATAACTGTTTTAATATATTAAAAACATTCCTGTGCTGGCAAAGCTAAATTTTCAGTTTCATTAATCTTGTCTTCAGTGTCACATGATCCTTCAGAAATCATTCTAATATTCTGATTTCGTGCTCAATAAACATTTCTTATTATCATCAATGTTAAAAACTTTGTGCTGATTAATGTTTTTCTGTAAACTAATGGGTTTTTTTCAGGATTTTTTGATGAATAGAAAGTTCATAAAATCAGCATTCATTATAAATGGATCATTTTTGAAAGATTATTTATGTTTCACTGTCATTTTTTTATCAGTTTAATGTTATTGCTAAATAAACGCACTTAAAGGAATATTACAGGTTTTTAGGTTACTCTGTAATACCTAGCACTGCACATTTTGTCTTAAAGTGATAGTTCGCCCAAAAACTAATTCTGTCATAATAATTCTAATTCTGTCATCATTTACTCGCCCTCAAGTTGTTTCCAATCTGATTTTTTCTTCTTCTGTGGAACACAAAAGAAGATATTTTGAAGAATGTTGGTAACCAAACAGTTGCTGGACCCCATTTACGTTTTCATATTATGGAAGAAAAAAAATAGTCAATGGCAGTTAATGGGGTCCATCAACTGTTTGGTTTCGGACATTGTTCAAAATTCAATCTTTTGTGTTCAGCAAAAAATAGAAATTCATTCATGTTTGAAATGACTTAACAGTGAGTATTTTGGGTGAGTTTAATTTCTGGGTGAACTGTCCCTTTAAGCCTGAGTGAATTGTTTTACATTTATTTATTTTTCATCATTTTTCTCTTTGTTTGTATAGAGCACTCAGTATGTAGATAAACGCTGGTCCTGTGAGCTGTTCATCCTGGTGTCCGTCAGTACTTCTGTCATTCTGATGCGACACCTACTTCCTCCCCGTTACTGCGACCTGCTCCACAAAGCGGCTGGGCACCTGGGCTGCTGGCAGAAGGTGGACCCCTCCCTCTGCTCAAACGTCCTCCAACACATGTACGTCTGACCTGGGGTCATAGCAATGTCAAAGATTTAGGTTGTGTCAGAGCTTTTTGTGCGTCTTTGTTGGTAAATATATTAGAATAGCAGGTTCTGACCGATTGATTCCAAATGCTTTTAAAGAAAGAGCCTAGTTTTAGTGAAGTGTTCAGTTCTTGGTCACACCCTTAAAAGAATGGCTGCATTGTGTTGAATGTTTCAACATGTTCATTTTATCTCGGGTGTTGCCAATGCAATCAACAACAAATTTATTTATAGCGCATTAAATTAATTTGAATTAAATGAACCAATATGTTTTTTAACATGAACATTGGTTTTCAATATGTACACCTAGAGCATATTTATCTTACTATATTTGTTACTTTTGTTTGTTAATTTTATTTTTACTACTGCCACAAGATTTTTATTAATATTATTATTTTTACCCTTTTCCTAAATTAACATTTTCTCATTTAATTATTATTATCATTTTATTTTGTATTTGTTTGCATATAATATTGATAAATCATGTTATAAACATTTGTTGCAATGTGTTTGCTTTTGTTTGTAGACTGTTAACTCTTTCTTTTGCTTTTTCCCCCTACAGATGGACAGAAGAGTACATGTGGCCACAGGGAGTTTTAGTAAAACACAGTAAAAATGTTTATAAGGCCATGGGCCATTATAACGTAGCAGTTCCCTCAGATGTTTCGCATTATCGTTTCTATGTAAGTATAAACTGTAGTTGAACTCTGAAACAAAAAGTGCGTTGTTTTTGCTGTTTGCTGACTCATCAGAATGAATGTCAATGTTATTAGAAATATTATTACAAAGAATGTATTATGTATTTTTCATGGGAATAATATTGCAATAACCACTGTTCCCCTTCTTTTTTCCTCTCTCCTAACAGTTTTTCTTCAACAAACCACTTCGAATATTGAACATTCTCATAATCCTGGAAGGTGCAATGATATTCTACCAGCTATATTCACTGATGTGTTCAGAGAAATGGCATCAGACGATATCACTAGCTCTAATATTATTCAGTAATTATTACGCCTTTTTCAAACTGCTCAGAGACAGAATAGTTTTGGGAAAAGCATATTCGTATTCATCCAGTGCCTCTAATCAGAAAGTCAGTTAGACGAGCGTAAATTATTGTCAGTCATCACAGATGAGCAGAAAACATGCATGAGAGCTGTTTATTTTTTCTACAAGTGCATTTTTTTTGTCTGTTTATGTTCTGACTTGCCATGAAATAAAAAGGAAACGTATTTTTATATTAAGTCTGTTTCTCTGAAGTTTTTAATGCACTACTTCTTACATGGCTGTCATAATCATCTGACATAATCAGACACAAATGTGTTTCTAGAATTCAAATATTTGTATTTATTTTTAAATCATTAAGCCCTAGATTTATCGTCATAATATTTCTCAGGTTTTGGGACCCAGGAATAAACTTTTGTCCACTGTAGTGGACATTATATTTAAGTTAATTTCTGACACCATATATGTCACAGTTTTACAGTGTGGATGTCCTGTAAAGCGCACACTCAGGGCTTTTAGATACCAAATGTTAGGTTTCACCATGACAACAATTTTTCCTTGGTCTTTAAAAATGGCTGACATTAATTTAGTGATCAAATTTTGCAGGAATATGGGTATAATAGGTATTATTGTGAAAATGTTATTACACGTTGCCCTAAAGAATACATTATTTTGCTAATCAGATACAGTGTATCTATACATTATTGAATGGGACTCCACATGTATGGCAATTTTACCCACATAAAGTAAAATAGTATGTCAATCCATTCTGTTATGTCTTTCATAACATAGTTGAGAATCATCTTTATAAACAGGTTTGATTAAAAACAAATCTCGAAACCACTTTCTTTTTGCCTTTACATGTCATTTTATTTTCCCGTTGACCAGTACAGTGTGGACATAGCATAACATATTAATAATATATATATATATATATATATATATATATATATATATATATATATATATATATATATATATATATATAAACAATTAAATGATACTGACAATAAATACTAATTTCAAACAACTTTCATTGCCTGGACCTGAGGAGGATATCATTTATCGTTACTGTAGGCTACCACAATGGCCTTTAGATGGCGACACATGTTGGCTACAGATTTCGGTCAACGGTTGACTATTGCAGAAATTCATTATAGAGTCATTTTTTTGTAGTAAAATGGCATATTAAAACACGTTGTTTAAATAACCAGTTGTGTGGTTGAGGTTTTAGTTAGTGTGATTCTCAGTGTCTTTAAACGAGAGCTTAGCTTGCATCCTATTGTGACCACTTTCCTAGTATGGCGAAGGTTTAACTCATGAATAATAATATTATTGTTTTGACGTCGCTTTTAATCGTTCCCATTGTTGAGACTCGGCTCTTGAATATTAATGATGTAGTTAGGACGCTTCTTCCAATAGCGAAAGCGCATCTCATGAATATTAATGACCAAGCTTCACCATAGTACGAGATTCAGAATCGCGGTCGGGTAGTGGAAGAGCAAGCTTGGAGAGCTGCCGCTGGAAACAGCACGCACTTTTAAAACGGACCGCGTATCAATCACACGTCATTGGAATGGAAAAACCAACACGGGCGTCTTAAATTTGCGTTGGAAAGCTCAAAGAGCCCTATCCTTATCCGCCAGCCGGTGAGTAAATCGTTTTGTTTAGCCATAAATGACGTTGTGCGCATCGCGCCTTATCGGGTATCCTGTGCAAATCCTTTCCATTCTGTGTAAAAGCTCTTCACCAAAGGAAAAATGCAGTAGATCTCGCGTTGGTAAATATATCAACTCATTAGTTACAATTCTATAATTGCAAAGAAAAAATGGAGTAACGTTATCGCGTAAAAAATACGTAATGTAGCCTAATGTAAAGTGCATTCATTTAAATTTTGACCCAGATTATTCCGTATGGCAAATGAATGAATAATCCTTCATCTGAATGGCTATTTTAATACATAATCTATAATATACAAGTTTGTACAATTCATATAATCATCATTCATATATTTTATATAGAATTTTTATTTCTAAAATTTAGATTCTTATTTAGAATCCACCATTTATATGTAATTAAGGATGGGCAGGAACATACAAATTGCTCAAATTAATGTATTGCTTTTTTCCAACCTATTGGGTTAAGGTTTAGGTTTTAAATAGTACAGGCCTACAGTTTAATGCTTTTTAAAATATTGCTTATATTTTCAAAAAGGTTATTGATATTCTTACAGCTGCTATGTTACTTTTATACAGATGGTTGAATTGATGCCAGAGTGCAAGAAACCTGACCCAAGCAGTTGCAATTTCTAAGAAAAAACTTGATAACAAGGTATTTCTTTACACAGGGTGAGAAACAGAACAGGAGAATAAATAAACCAGAAAATGGCAGAGAGGGGTACTTTATCCATAAGCACCAATCTATAGTTTTGGTGGAACCCCATAAAGTTAGGATGATTAGAAGTATGATTTAATATATACATTTACCAATGACATTTATCACGCATGTTACCTCTGATATTGTTATTTGACTTCATGCAGTGACTCAAAATATTGAATTTTCCATTCCATCTGTTTGCAGCTCAAGGTCAGACATTAATAATTGCTAAATGTTTAACGCAGCCTCTGACTGACCTGCTGTAATAACTGAAATCTGTTTGCTTCAAAAAGCTGAAATTGACTTTAGTTCAGTGATACCAACTGAACTGGCCTGAGACAAACCCTCATATTTTAGGGCCCCCACAATATTTAATTTATCTCTGCAATTTAGGCCCTTGTTTTTATATAATGATCTTGTTTGCCTTCCCAACCAAAACAAAGATGATGTTCAGTTCAATGTTCAGGTAACACTTTTTCATATAACAATATTTTTTGCAATTCCATTCAGTGACTCAAAATAGAAATAACACACTCTACCTTTACCTTTTAGCCCACAAATAGATTTTTTAAGAGTGTGGACATTTTTTAATATAACTCCGATTGTGTTTGTCTGAACGAAGAATGTACAGAAGAATACCGTATGGCCCTTCGTCCATATAATGGCAGTGAATAGTGACCAGCATTAAGCTAGTTTTTTAACGCCAAAGTCACATGATGCAACACTTGTTGTATATTCCATATGTTCTTCTGGGGTCGGAACTCTGTTGACAGATGTGAATAAGATAACTTCTCGTTGTGTTGAACACAACGAATATATATATTATTATATATAATATATATATATATATATATATTCACCTCGATGGATGATGGATTGCATTTCTTGTCCTGTCTTTGTTAATTTTAACGGCCAAGGTTAGGATTTTTGTTAAATAATAATAATGTTGTTCACATCGTATACTTTTGCATATTTTTTATAAACCTTCATGCTGGTTGCTATTCACAGCCATTATATGAACAAGCACAAGTGGGATTTTTACAACAACAAAAAAATAATTCTCCTTTTGTGGTTCATAAAAGAAATTTGGCATTAGAACAACACCAGGGTGAGTAATTTTTGAGCTCTTGTCTGTCTCTTAGAAAGTGCCAGTGCCCTCATGGAGGACAAGAGGAAGAAAAGGAGTCCCAAAGTGTCGCTTCCCCATCCCCCTCCTCCACCCATCAACCCTCGAAAGCTCACCGTTCTCCCGGCGAGCAAGAGCGCCACATTCTCATTGGGTCTGCCCCATCCCCCCTCCCCCAAACCCAGGGGAAAGTGCAAGAGATCGGTGGGGGCAATGGGTCCATCTAAAGAAGCACTTGCCGTTCCTGTGGTTCCCCCTAAAAACACAAGGTTTGTGTGCGTGTTCCCCTTAAAAAGGGGACATTTAAAAATTGTGCCACAAAATAGAGTCTAGTTGTGATTCTGGTTCTTTTTGTACTGATACAGACCTCACAGAGAGAAGCCCAGAGCTCCTCAGCCCGCCGGACCTAGTCGCGTGTCCCAGTCCTCCTCACCTCTCCAGCACTCATTCCTCACCGATGTCTCCGATGTGAGAGAGATGGAGGGAGGACTGCTTAACCTGCTCAACGACTTTCACTCTGGAAAACTGCAGGCTTTCGGTATGACACGTGTGTGCTAGGGTTTTATTCAGAAGCTTTAATAGTTTGGGCTGTAATTAGAAACGGTTGGCAGTTTTAATTGTTGGGAAATTTTTGAGGAATGCAAAGGTGTGTAAGGGTGGCACATTTACTCCACCTAATTCATCAGTGAGTTGGTAATAATAATAATAATAATACGATTTATTTATATAGTGCATTTCAAGGACTCAAGGACAAGCTACAATAATGCAATGGACAATGATAACAAACAAAACAACCTTTGGTAGATGAGATTAATACAGTAAAGGAGAATTATGTAGACGGGGCAGCATACAGCAGAATACAATTGGACAAAACAAAATGTAATACAACTTGAATGGTGACATTCAGAAAATAAGTGAGTTTTTGAGCATAGTTTTAAATTTAGAAATAGAAAATTCAACACAGTGATCGGGGGAGAGAGTTCAATTTATTTATTAGGATTTCGAATTTAATACGATATGCCAGTGAAGATCATACAAAATTGGGGTGATATGGGTCGAATGCTTGGTGTGGGTAAGTATTCTAGCAATAGAGTTTTGAATATATTGCAATCTGAAATGGGGCTAGCAGATAGACCAATAAAAAGGGCATTACAGTAATCAAGACGTGATGCTTGGATGACAGTTTCAGAGTCTTTGATACTGATAAAGGGACGGAGCTGGGCGATGCGACGTAGATGAAAGAATGCTGATTCAGTGAGCCTGGAAAGAGAGAGAGAAGTTAAAGATTACACCAAGATTTTTAACAGTATTATATGGTTTGATATGAGAGCCAGCTATCTCAAAGGTGAAATTGATATGAATTTTGCTAGTGAGTGACGGAGGTCCAGTAAAAATAATCTCAGTTTTTTCCATCTTAAGTTTTAGAAAATTTGAATGGAGCCAAGCTTTTATTTTATGCCCACAAGCAGAGATTTAAAGATTTCATGCCCATAGGGCAGATGTACAGAGATGGTATATAATTGGATGTCATCAGCGTAAACATTATAATTAAAACCATGCCGGTGGAAGATCTGACCAAGAAATATTATGTAAATTATGAATAATAATGGCCCGAGAACGGAGAGTAGGTGAACGAAAATCTTTTCCTGAAATGTAGAATTGTTTGTCAAAGAGATAAGATGAGAAATAAGAAAGAGCAGCACCACAAACACCACAAAGCCCTTAGTTGTGAAAAATAAGAAATCATTTATTTTGCCCAAGACATGTTGATACTGAGGAACGGAGAGCCAATCACAAGCAAAAAAAACAAAACAGAATAAAGAGATTTGCTTTACGACTCTAAGGTAAAATCTTAGTTTCTATATCTATAACATGCTGTGTTTGCAGGTAAGGTGTGCTCCTTTGAGCAACTTGAACATGTGAGGGAGATGCAGGAACGTCTAGCCCGGCTCCATTTCAGTCTGGACAGTCATGTGGAGGAGCTGTCTGAAGACCAGAGAAAAAATGCTTCGGACCGCAATCTTGAACACCTGCTTTCTAACGTGAGACATTAATTCACCTCATTTTATCCTCCAACTTTTGTAGGGCTGCATGATTAATTGAAATTACAGAAATTGTGATATGGCTTTGTGTGATTATCAAGTGGATACAAATGAAATGAAAACATGTGCTGCGTGTTTCAGAGTAAAGCGCAATGCTGAGCTCAAGATTCAATGCTTTCAGTAAATTCTGCTCCAAATTCTGCTCCATGTGATCTCAACCAAGCTCAACTAACTTGGAATTTTTATTTTAAATTCTATTCACAATTTAATTTTTTTCCTCCAAATCGTGCAGCCCTTATTGTCTTATCCATTCATACCAATGCTTAAACCACAGACATTTATTCTGCTTTCAGATGCAAATGTATATTTGTACCTTACAGTAGACGCACACATTAGTGGAATCTGGATTGACTGGATATGGAACACCAGTCTATTTGTTCTCTCTCAACTATTCAAGCACTTTGAGCGTTTCTTACACACAAATACTCAAGGACTGGACACAATAATACCCTGTATCTCAATACAGGCCTGTGGCTAAATCTTGTATTATTATCCAAGTCCGTGTGTCGCTCTCTGACTGAATTCTTTCATCAGCCTGTGAAGGGCTGGACAGTTACTATTGATAGTATTTCCCTTCTAGCTGTCAGCTCAGTGGTATGTGCTAGAGAGCCCAGAGTGTGTGTGTGAACTGTTTCATGATTGATGATTCACTCAGTATAACAGAGTGTATTTGAATCTTATAAAAATCAGTTCAGGTTACTTTGTATCCCACTTTTTTTTCATTAAGCTTGTTTTAGGACTATTAAGACTTTTGCATTGTGACAATAATTTCATTAAGCACATCCCCTCCACAATGCTATATTTTACTTTATAAATTTGTAAAATTCAAATCCCCATTATTATATCAGCCGCATAATAAATACTACATCTACCATGATATATTTACAATTTAAATAATTGTCACGTAATTCGTAAAAAGGATTCGTTGTTTTCTGAAGCTTTCCTCCTGCTAAACTGATTCTGTCAGCTCAGCAATTGTAGTTCGGTCTTTTTAAAGCAGCAGCAAATTATATTGATTTTTTAAATGCATCTCTGTTTTGTCCCATATAGCTGGAAGAATTGAGCAGCTCCATGTATCCTTCCACTTTATAGTTTGTATGTGTTGTACATTGCAAGAATGATAAAATACAATGTTAATTAACTTTTAATCTTAATCAACTCTCTCTCTCTCTCTCAAGTAAAATATATTGTGAAAAAAAGGGTGTTTATCCAGATAAGGTTTGTGTTAGACTCAGTCACAGTGAAAGCTCTCAGTGTTCTGAGCTAAGCACTTAGTTTTAGCTTCAGTATAAGTGCAAGGATTGTGTTTCTCAAAACATCGTAGATCAGGTGTGTCCTAATGGAAGCCAAATAGGTACATGCATTAAATGTGCAGAGAGAATACTGGAGTCTGCATGTTTATATGTAATAGGACCTCCAGACCTTAGATGTACATTAGCAGTGCATATCTCCTTAATGCTGTTTAACCAGACAGAAACTCCACCTGGCAGAAAATCAAGACCTACCCAAGACCTCCAACACCTGAAGCAAGAAACCAAACCCCGCCGACCATCAAATCACTGTGCAGACCTAAGCCCAAGTTGCCATGGCTACAACTCAACTGCAAGTTAATGAGCGCCATCATCGTGATCCGTGACTAATGCAATACTAAGTGACGGCAGCAGCATAAAAGCACATTCTCCATGTTAATGAAATTCAACGGCAAAAAAGGCACTACTTGCTTGTCTAAATATTTTATTATTGCATTTAACAATTCGTCCAATGATTTTAAACCTGAAAGACATTTTTGTTAAAGTGTTTAAATTGGGATAAATAGTAACTCTAGGGTTTGAATGAGTTAATCACAGGTTCTTTCATCACTGCTAAAGGCTGACTACTTCGGAAACCCGAGATCTAGAATTATTATCAATCATGACAGCAGTAAAGGAGAAAATTAACACTTGCATTATTCGTCAACGAGCACATACACAATGGATTTTCTTTTTGTTATCGGTCGGTGTTCTCTGGAATGATGTAGTAAATGGCTGTGGAGTAGCTATAAACTCACTCAGGACTGCTTGAGATCATTGATCTTAGTGCCTCTTCTCAGTCTCTAGATTACATTGATTGTTTTACCGGAAGGTCTTCATGGGACTCTCGAAATGATGGAATGGAGTTTTTTTGTAGATGTTTGTACATTAAAATTGAAGTAAAGGTTATTTCAAATAATGTTATATTCCATGTTTGTAAACTAGAGTTTTAAATATGTTATGAACTATCATGATAGAAGTTGTTTGTAAAAGGAACTGATGGAAATGTGCAGGATTTGTATGTGTGTTATTGTATAAACTAAATTGAAAACATAATGGAATCAGGCATTTTCCATTGATTTCTTGGTAATTCTACAATTAGAGAGGAGTTGACTCAAGAACTGCTCCATTTTTTCATGGAGCACAATATTGTATTTGAAACCTGTAGATTTGTATAGTCTCTAGTCCAAAGCACAAAAGCAGTGCTGTAACATCTTGTGCTGTAAGATCTGCAGTGGATCAAAACTGCTGCAAAAAATGTTACATATCCATACAAACTTACTAACAACAACCCCTTATGAAAAGCCAGTCTTCTCGTTTCACTTATAAAACATCAGCACAACAAATCAACAAGTTCAGAGAAAAGTAAAAGAAACACCTGTTTGAATTGTATATATATATATTTCATAATGCAGTAACTTCATTTCACAGCTGACCTCCGCTATGCCTACCTCCAAATATTTCAATAGAGAATCAGTACTGTTGCAATTGAGGGGAAGTCTGTTTAAATTCATTCATGGCAGGAATCTGATCTTGCATCTGCACGTACAGGCTGTAATTGAAAGAATCATTGAAAAATGACATTTGTATTCTTTCTGAGAATTATTTATTAGTTATTTAAAAAAAAAGAAAATATCAGTGTCCTTTGCTTTTTGTCCATGTTTTTTGTTTATCTGTGCATATAAACTATTTTCTATTTGTGTGCTTTAAGTAATAAAACTTAATGCAACAATTAACTCACTTTGACTTTTTGTGACTTATATTGCTCATGGGTAATCAGGTAATAGGTAGTGTAAGCAGTTTGATTCATTAAAATCAAATGAGAGCTGCAGTATTGTGTGACGCAGTTTGATTTTAGAGAAGGGGGGGGTATTTTAATGTCAGAAGTTTAGAAGCATTAAATGTGACAAAATGACAACATTTGCTCAAATCAAAGTAGTTTTTTATGTTATCATTATGATCAATAATATAGAAAAAAAAACATTTAAATTGGGGGGTTCAGTATTTTATACAATATATTAAAATGTATACAGTACCAGTCACATTTTTAACATTATTTCTCTTATGCTCATTAATATTTTTTTAACTTTTTTAATAACTTTTTTTTTAAAGAAATTAATACTTTTATTCAGCAAGGATGCATTAAATTGATAAAAAGTGATCGTTAAGATTTATATCATTGGAAAAGATTTCTATTTTGTTTGATTTCTATAAAAGTTTGGGGTCAGTAATTTTTTTTTCTTTTTTTTTTTAAAGAGAATTAATACTTAGGATGCATTAAATTGATAAAAAGTGATAGTTAAGATTTATATAGTGGGAAATGATGTATATTTTGAATAAATGCTGTTCTTTTTTAAACTTTTTATTCATAAATTAATCCTGAAAAAAGTTTCACAGGTTCCAAAAAATATCATGCAGCACAACTGTTTCCAAAATTGATAATAGTATCAAATCAGCATATTAGAATAATTTCTGAAGGATCATGTGACACTGAAAACTGGAGTGATGGTTGATGAAAATTAAGCTTTGCTTCACAGAAATAAAGTATATTTCAAATATATTAAAATAGAAATGTTAAATTGTAATAATATTTCACAATATTATTATTTCCTTCAGTATTTTTGATAAAATAAAAACAAGGTTGATGAGCATAAAAGACTTCTTTCAAAAACATTAAAAAGAATTATGCATCCAAACTTTTGACCGGTTCTGTATGCAAGTGCTGCACACCAGGAATTACCAAAACCTCTTCCAAACAGCGGGAGGCGGTCATGAGCTGAGATCCCGTCTGATCCTCGCGGTGTCTATTGGGGAAGAAATGCACAAACAAACAGCGGCGCTATGAACGAACAGACATGGATTCAGATATTAACTCAATTTCAGGTATTGTAAATGTTATTATTGTTATTTTGATTCAGTTTCTAACGTTGGTGTGCAAATATTTTATAAATAAATAAATAATTAGTTTAAACGTCTGTCTGGTGAGTAACTAGGCAAGTTAATTTTTGTTTACACTAAGTTACAGTCGTTCATTCATATTCATTTCTTTATCTTAATTTTTGCAGCAGATCTCTTTTATTGTGAGGACCTGTTCTTTTCAATACATTAAAAGCTGTATAAGATAACAAAGAAAATGTGCTTTTGAATAGTAACTTTAAATGAACTTTTTAACAACAGAACTTCTGTAGATTGTGCTTTAAAAATAAACATGTGCAGAGGTTTAGTTGACCTCAGTTTAGTCCCAGTATCAGAAAAAGTAAAGCTAACATTGTGAATTGTGTTCTCCAGGCTCGATGTCGCGGTTATGTGATGAGACAAGGTCTACTTTTGGTTCAGGCTCAGTTTGAGGACATCGTGCGAGAGATTGATGGAGGATTGGATCACTTGCAGTGGAGAGGAAACATTATTCCCAAACCTCACTTTACTGACACTGTGAGCTTCTCTGTCATTACTCATTTCTCATAGTGTCTATCTACTGCTGTTTAAAAACTACATTTTGGTCAGATGATTTGTTTGTGTAATTTAACCATCGAATGCATTTCATCTGTTGATTGATTAATTGAGTGATTCATGTATGTCAGTTAGTACCAATATTCACATTGCATAATAATAGTTTTTAATGCATATAATGTAATCTATAGAAAAGCCTATTGCTGCAGTATGAACGCTCCAGGTTTCAGTGCCATGACCATCAGGATGACTCTGAGGGGGAACAGAAGATAGAAAATGAGGACAGTGAGAAAACTCTCCCTCAGTCTGATATCCAGGTACCAGAGAGAGATGAAGCTCCTGAAACATCCAGCCGAGACACTTCCACGCCTGTGGAAGAGATAGGAGAGAATGTTGTCGGACAAAACCTGGCGGAGTATTCTTCTACAGTTTGCAATGCTGTGAATTCAGATGTTTGCCACAGCAGCTTACTTCAGACAGGTGAAATGAGAAGAGACTTTGGGGGAAAAAAAGAATACTAAGATTATTTAAAAAAAATAAAACAGTTGGACTTCATGTTTTTGTTTTTGGCAGGAACAAGTTTGCATTCAGTTTTGAAAGACACTGCACACACTCCTGATTCCCTGAAGCAGCAGCGGAGCACTTTGGCCATGGAGCTGCTGTGGATCCAGCAAGCCATCAGTAGCAGAAAGAAAGTGAGAAAAGTTGATATTTGTTTTAATTATTTATATATATATATATATATATATATATGCATCTGCTCTGCTCTTTTGCAGTATCTCACCCTTAAACAGAGAATGGATGTGTCACACTGATACTGGACCAGGTCTGAAGTGGACCAACATTTACAGCACATGTTTAAGAATTGTTGTAAATCATTTTTATTTATAAGTTTGTTTTGTCCATAAATGTGTCTGTGTCAAAGAAGAGATTGTATTTTTGTATGAATTACATTTCAGAAATAAATATAACTTGCACATATGAGATGGGATAGAGATTTTTTTCCTGTATCACAGTTAAGCCATTAATGTTTAATTCTGAAATCCTTGACCATCTGAATGGACCATTATGTCCATTATTCTCGGATAAAACAACTTCAGGGTACAAAATACATTAGACACAGTGGAGCTGTCCAGCGCTGATGCCAGATCATTGATGAAGATGTTGAATAGAGTCGGACTCAGACTGCAGCCCTGCCTCACTCCACGGCCCTGCTGGAAGAACGCGCTTCTGTGGTTCCTGATTTTCACTGCACTTTTGCTGTTGCTGTACAGAGATTTTATGATGTCAAATGTTTGTTAACGTTTGTTGTCAGAGTTTTAACATTTGTTTTCCATTAATGTTCACTGAGTTATCATAGCTATTTCTCTGTGTCATATTATATATATATATATATATTCACTGAGGAATGAAACGTGGTGTCATTGAGGACATGGTCATTATCTACAATATTTACATAATCAATTTCTCGCCCTGTTCTGGCGTTGAAGTCTCCACAGATGAGGACATTTCCTCTGGACTGGAAGTGTAAGATGTCAGCCTGTAGTGTTGGGAAGCTCTGCTCTTCGTAATAGGGAGAGTCGTGCGGTGGGATATAGATGGCACAGAGGTAAAGATTGGACTGTGGTATGACAGATTTAACTTCAAGACAAATAGATGATTTACCACTTTTAGCGATTTTAATCGAATGTTTTAAATAGTCTTTTTGCCATATAAGTATTCCACCTGAGTCTCGACCGCAATTTATTTTAGAATTTTTTGTTGAAGAAACCATAATTTCCTTATATCCTATTGGACAGTGTTAACGCCTCATTACTACGACACCACGTCTCATGAAAGATACATGAAAGATACATAATGATAAAAAGTGATCGTTAAGATTTATATCATTGGAAAAGATTTCTATTTTGTTTGATTTCTATAAAAGTTTGGGGTCAGTAATTTTTTTTTCTTTTTTTTTTTAAAGAGAATTAATACTTAGGATGCATTAAATTGATAAAAAGTGATAGTTAAGATTTATATAGTGGGAAATGATGTATATTTTGAATAAATGCTGTTCTTTTTTAAACTTTTTATTCATAAATTAATCCTGAAAAAAGTTTCACAGGTTCCAAAAAATATCATGCAGCACAACTGTTTCCAAAATTGATAATAGTATCAAATCAGCATATTAGAATAATTTCTGAAGGATCATGTGACACTGAAAACTGGAGTGATGGTTGATGAAAATTAAGCTTTGCTTCACAGAAATAAAGTATATTTCAAATATATTAAAATAGAAATGTTAAATTGTAATAATATTTCACAATATTATTATTTCCTTCAGTATTTTTGATAAAATAAAAACAAGGTTGATGAGCATAAAAGACTTCTTTCAAAAACATTAAAAAGAATTATGCATCCAAACTTTTGACCGGTTCTGTATGCAAGTGCTGCACACCAGGAATTACCAAAACCTCTTCCAAACAGCGGGAGGCGGTCATGAGCTGAGATCCCGTCTGATCCTCGCGGTGTCTATTGGGGAAGAAATGCACAAACAAACAGCGGCGCTATGAACGAACAGACATGGATTCAGATATTAACTCAATTTCAGGTATTGTAAATGTTATTATTGTTATTTTGATTCAGTTTCTAACGTTGGTGTGCAAATATTTTATAAATAAATAAATAATTAGTTTAAACGTCTGTCTGGTGAGTAACTAGGCAAGTTAATTTTTGTTTACACTAAGTTACAGTCGTTCATTCATATTCATTTCTTTATCTTAATTTTTGCAGCAGATCTCTTTTATTGTGAGGACCTGTTCTTTTCAATACATTAAAAGCTGTATAAGATAACAAAGAAAATGTGCTTTTGAATAGTAACTTTAAATGAACTTTTTAACAACAGAACTTCTGTAGATTGTGCTTTAAAAATAAACATGTGCAGAGGTTTAGTTGACCTCAGTTTAGTCCCAGTATCAGAAAAAGTAAAGCTAACATTGTGAATTGTGTTCTCCAGGCTCGATGTCGCGGTTATGTGATGAGACAAGGTCTACTTTTGGTTCAGGCTCAGTTTGAGGACATCGTGCGAGAGATTGATGGAGGATTGGATCACTTGCAGTGGAGAGGAAACATTATTCCCAAACCTCACTTTACTGACACTGTGAGCTTCTCTGTCATTACTCATTTCTCATAGTGTCTATCTACTGCTGTTTAAAAACTACATTTTGGTCAGATGATTTGTTTGTGTAATTTAACCATCGAATGCATTTCATCTGTTGATTGATTAATTGAGTGATTCATGTATGTCAGTTAGTACCAATATTCACATTGCATAATAATAGTTTTTAATGCATATAATGTAATCTATAGAAAAGCCTATTGCTGCAGTATGAACGCTCCAGGTTTCAGTGCCATGACCATCAGGATGACTCTGAGGGGGAACAGAAGATAGAAAATGAGGACAGTGAGAAAACTCTCCCTCAGTCTGATATCCAGGTACCAGAGAGAGATGAAGCTCCTGAAACATCCAGCCGAGACACTTCCACGCCTGTGGAAGAGATAGGAGAGAATGTTGTCGGACAAAACCTGGCGGAGTATTCTTCTACAGTTTGCAATGCTGTGAATTCAGATGTTTGCCACAGCAGCTTACTTCAGACAGGTGAAATGAGAAGAGACTTTGGGGGAAAAAAAGAATACTAAGATTATTTAAAAAAAATAAAACAGTTGGACTTCATGTTTTTGTTTTTGGCAGGAACAAGTTTGCATTCAGTTTTGAAAGACACTGCACACACTCCTGATTCCCTGAAGCAGCAGCGGAGCACTTTGGCCATGGAGCTGCTGTGGATCCAGCAAGCCATCAGTAGCAGAAAGAAAGTGAGAAAAGTTGATATTTGTTTTAATTATTTATATATATATATATATATATATATATGCATCTGCTCTGCTCTTTTGCAGTATCTCACCCTTAAACAGAGAATGGATGTGTCACACTGATACTGGACCAGGTCTGAAGTGGACCAACATTTACAGCACATGTTTAAGAATTGTTGTAAATCATTTTTATTTATAAGTTTGTTTTGTCCATAAATGTGTCTGTGTCAAAGAAGAGATTGTATTTTTGTATGAATTACATTTCAGAAATAAATATAACTTGCACATATGAGATGGGATAGAGATTTTTTTCCTGTATCACAGTTAAGCCATTAATGTTTAATTCTGAAATCCTTGACCATCTGAATGGACCATTATGTCCATTATTCTCGGATAAAACAACTTCAGGGTACTAAATACATTAGACACAGTGGAGCTGTCCAGCGCTGATGCCAGATCATTGATGAAGATGTTGAATAGAGTCGGACTCAGACTGCAGCCCTGCCTCACTCCACGGCCCTGCTGGAAGAACGCGCTTCTGTGGTTCCTGATTTTCACTGCACTTCAGAGATTTTATGATGTCAAATGTTTGTTAACGTTTGTTGTCAGAGTTTTAACATTTGTTTTCCATTAATGTTCACTGAGTTATCATAGCTATTTCTCTGTGTCATATTATATATATATATATATATTCACTGAGGAATGAAACGTGGTGTCATTGAGGACATGGTCATTATCTACAATATTTACATAATCAATTTCTCGCCCTGTTCTGGCGTTGAAGTCTCCACAGATGAGGACATTTCCTCTGGACTGGAAGTGTAAGATGTCAGCCTGTAGTGTTGGGAAGCTCTGCTCTTCGTAATAGGGAGAGTCGTGCGGTGGGATATAGATGGCACAGAGGTAAAGATTGGACTGTGGTATGACAGATTTAACTTCAAGACAAATAGATGATTTACCACTTTTAGCGATTTTAATCGAATGTTTTAAATAGTCTTTTTGCCATATAAGTATTCCACCTGAGTCTCGACCGCAATTTATTTTAGAATTTTTTGTTGAAGAAACCATAATTTCCTTATATCCTATTGGACAGTGTTAACGCCTCATTACTACGACACCACGTCTCATGAAAGATACAGATGCCCATATCTCTTACACTGCTGAGTAAGTCTTGGTCTGCAGTCTTATTACCAAAAGTAGAAGAGTGCAGACCTTGTACATTCCAACAACTGATTTTAAAAGATTTCATGGATGAGTTCTTCTGTAAAGTGTGTGTGTGTGTTATGCAGGTTATGTCCTCAGTCTGGAGCAGATGATGTTCAGCAGATGTCTTATTTCAGCCGCTGCAGGGTTCTGGGGTTGTTGAGCGGCCGCAGCGTAGCTCTTGTGTTGTGATGGAGGTCCGGGGGTCGGTCTGTGCTCTGCTGGAGGACGAGGGCTTCTTGGTGGCTGAGAGCTTCTCTTGTTATTGGAGTTTCTGTTGTTTCTTGCTGTGTTTCCAAGTGCTGTGCTTTTCAGTACTCTGCCGAAGACTTTCACTCCTTGCTTATTGAGACGTACGTGGTCGTACATATGATGAGGCTGTATGTCTTTGTGATGGGCGAGATGAACATTAGGGATGAGTGCGCAGCTTCTGGAGAGTTCCACATTATTCCCGTGGATCACGTGAAACGGCATGTCGGAGCGTGGCAGCAGTATGGACAGAGTTATCCTGGCCCCTGGGAAACGCTGTGTGGCTCTGATCGCCACCTCTCTCATCACAGGAGCCACACGGCTCTTCATGGCCCTTAAGTCATTTGTCCCTGTGTGGATTATTATGTGCTTGTAGTTTTCATGTGGGTTCCTCTCAGACAGGATCTGAAAAGCACTTCTTGTGTTTGGACACCAGATTTTCTTGGTTCTCATGTTTGGTAACAGAAGTTTCTCACTGATGTATTTCCCATTGGAGTCAGTCAGGATAAGAGCGTGTGTTTCTCTCGGGTCCTGTGCAGCAGCGCTGTGGGTCTGGGATCACTGGTGTCTGTTCAGGTTGAGGATTTTCCATGTGCATCTCTGGACGAATCAAGGGTTTAGCAGGAGACTCTGTAGGTGCTGAGACAGAACTGAGTCTTTCTTTTAGGTTAGTGATGAGTTCATCTTTGGTGTGAAGAACTGACTTCAAGGCAGAGAAGTCCTCCTGCATTTCTTTTCTCACGTCTGCTAGTTGTCTTCCTAAAGTGGATTTTACTTCCCTCAGTTCATCTTTCGTTTGCTGAAGTTCTTTTGACATTTCTTCTCTGTCTCTCTGGAGATATTCAACTTCTTGTTTTAATTTCTTTATGTCAATATAGTCACATGTTCCATGTTGAAGTCTTTCAGGTGGGACAGTATTAACTCTTATCTCCACAACTTCTACTTCCAGAAGTAAAAAATTGTCTCTCATTCTTGACATTGGAGATTAGATCGCAGTTGCTGAAGTCACTGTCGTCTTTTGGACTGATTTTCCAGGGGAGTCATCAATGTTTGGATTCTTGTCCACATCATCAGACAGTGCCAGCGTTTTTATTAGTTCAAAATCTTCAATGAAGACCTTGAGAGCAGACTCTGATCCCTGGATCATGACAGTGCCATTTTGATACAAGTTCAGGGTCAAAAATCTTGTTTCATCATTTTTGTCAGCGTCTTCAAATGCTAAGATCTGTCTGCCTTTACAGATGCCTCTCTTCTTGACAAAGGTGAGATGCTGACAGAAGGCTGTGTGCCATAAAGGGCTGTGTTCAGTGTAAAAGAGCAGGTTGTTCATGGCACTGTGGTCATGTAGATCAGCAAACAGTGTGTCAGGGCTCTCCTTCATCTGCTTGTGTCTGAGCATCAGCCTGGAGTGCTCAGAACTCTTCTGATGAAGATGATGCGTTGGCCATCCTTGATTTAGAATATCAACAACCAACTGAAAATAACTGCCACTGTTTTGAATTGTTTTGTTTTCATCCCTCAGTGGAGATATAAAATAGGCAAAAATGAGTAAATAAGCCAAAAAATGACTTTCACAGATCACTTTTTTATAATTCCAGTTTTGTCCAAAATATTTTTCTGTGCTGTTCTTTCAAACAAAAATCAGGAAAAAGTCCAAAGAGAGAAAAATAGCACTGTCTACTTAAAATATCTTTATCTCTCTTTTCCTGCAAGCTTTCTTATAGTTGTTGTTTGTTGCTTGATGTTATCCTTTCTAACCTGAATATGCTCCTCTGCAGAGGGTTATCCTGTGATCAGCTTCTCTTGAACTTTTCCTCAGATTCAGGTGTGACAGTGTAAAAAATAAAATAAATAACTGTCCAGATTCAACAAAACCTTTTAGATGTTGTCTAAATGTTGTTGTATGATGATTCCTCTATTTTCTTTAGCTTTGTTGGCAAACAAATCTTATTTTTTTAGCAAATTATCTGGAGCTCAACACTCTCTCTCTCTCTCTCTCTCTCTCTCTCTCTCTCTCTCTCTCTCTCTCTCTCTCTCTCTCTCTCTCTCTCTCTCTCTCTCTCTCTCTCTCTCTCTCTCTCTCTCTCTCCTCTCTCTCTCTCTCTCTCTCTCTCTCTCTCTCTCTCTCTCTCTCTCTCTCTCTCTCTCTCTCTCTCCCTCCCTCCCTCCCTCTCTCCCTCTCCGTATTGTTGTTACGGATTGTAAAGCCCCACAAAGGCCGCCGCCATAGTTAGTAATGCTACCATGACAACCAGGAAACACTTTAGTCTGTGTGCGAAAGGGAGGGCGTCAGGGTGAGGTGTTTGAGTCTCTCACACTCAGTGCTTTGCTATTAGAAATAAACACAAAAAAGTAGCACAACTGGAAGTAACAGACCAGATGATATTTCTCTCCAGGTGATCAACTGGATACTATAATTTTCCTTTGTAAGTATTTTTTGTGAGTGTGTGTGGATTTACATAAGGATGTGAGTGCATCTCTTATCTGTATAGTGAATAAATTTGTGTGTTCTTAAGGTTGTGATCTGTGTGTAATTAAGGTTGGGATCTGTACATTTACAGTTGTGTTAATAAATGTAGTTTTACATTTTGATGGCATAAGTAAGGTGTCCTTTTTAGAGGGTTAATCTCTATTTGTGTTTATTTTATAGGTGTGTGTTAATGTGGCTCATTTAGGGTAATGGCATCCACTGGTGTCTCTAGTCACCTGCCTCCAGTCAAGAGTGTAAAGGTCTTCAGAAATGGAGACCCCTTCTTTACAGGTTGGAACAGGTTCTAAAACAATTGTCTGTATAATTGCAGTATGTCACCGTCAAAGCGTACTGTATATACTGGGCCTAAAACTAAGCTTTTGCCACACTTCTCAATGGCTGGTGAAATTTATAAATTTACCGGCCATAAATATTTTTTATATTTGTGACGTATTTCCTAGTGAAACGGAGGATAGAGGCCGGGGTTTTACTTTAGCTCACATCCTCTCCATCCCTCGCTCATAGAAAACTGACGGATGGGAGGGAGTAAGAATATATCAACCCAAGGTATCAAACTGAAGTCATCAGGGAGGGAAATGCTCAGATTTTGATTAAAGATTGCCACGACAAATTAAATTTTTTTTCTGTTTTAACACTGGTTAATTGTTTACAACAAGACTAGTAATGTGCAATAACAAAGCGAAAAGGGTAAATTTTTATGTCATGATGACAGCCAATTATGACACCGTTTCTTGGTCCTTTTTTAGATAGATAGATCTAACTTTATTCAGGACTCAAAATGAAATGTCCATAGTGCAAAGAACATAGCAATAGTTAAAACAAAGCAATAAATAAATATAAAACACAAAATGCATTAACTTTCATTAGCAATATACAAACAGGTTTAATTTTTGTTTGACCTTAAAAATGCATAAAGACAGCTGCAGAAATATATTAGGATGTTGGCACTTTAACACCTGCACGGATCCAATATACTGATACTGTACACAATGTGTGGTTGTACTACACATGTGCTTTCTTTACTTTCACTAAAAAAATTCAGATTGTGTTTACTAGGTTACTCACAGCGGCGGGCATTTTTTGTACATAATTTTGTGCGAATATGTCCGTTCCAGTGCAAGAAGACGTAAAACCTATGCGTAAAACAGATCTTATTTCAGTATTTGCGCATGGTCTGGATGTGCACTTTGGTTGTGTGTGCACACTAAATTTCCCAAACAATGTGTGAGTTTATTTAAATTGGCAAGGCTTAAACTTTAGTGACTTTGGATTGTTAGAATTCATAAAAATGTTACCAGACAACTGGCAATGCACCATCTCAATTTATACACGCATTTGGCGTTTGGCGAGTGAGAGTTAATTTTAGCGCCTATACAGTATTTCTGAAATAAAACTATGTGTCATTTCATATGTGTCATACTCTATATATAGACGAAATTAAATTGAATATATAGGCTACAGTATATACTGTATATATTTCTGAAATGAGTCATTTGTGTGTATGTGTATGTCTTTTTTGATCAGGAAGGAGATTTGTGGTCAACCAGAGGCAAATCTCCAACATGGATGCATTTCTTAATGATATCACTCTCAGTATCGGAGCTCCATTGGCTATTCGAACACTCTATACGCCACGCTACGGCCACCGGGTCACGGACCTCACTGACCTACAGCAAGGGGCACAGTATGTGGCTGCAGGGTTTGAGCGCTTTAAGAAACTGGAGTAAGTGTGAATTCATTTAGAATGAGAATATTCTGAATTACACTGTCCTTTACATCAAGGGAACAATTTGATGTTGAGACTCAGTGGTTTCAGTGTTGGGACACCTCAGCCACATTTATCAAAGTATTAATTTAATAACATAACAAAACTTCAAACAAAAAGTGTGTGTTAAGTGTTGTTAACTAAAACTAAAATTAAAAATTATTTTCAGTAATTGAAACAAAGCTGAAAAATGTAATAATATATACAGTAAGTATTTAATGAAAAGCTTAAAATTAAAAAAACCTAAACAAAAGTTTATGTTGCATAAATGTTGCAACTAACTGAAATAAATGTTAAATAAGTTGAGGTACTAAAATACAAAAAATATATACAAATTAATAACTAACTAAATAATTAATAAAACAAAAAGTATAAGTCATCATGTGGTGAAAATCAAGCTTTTAATGTTGTTTAAATGTCTGTGGTGTTTTTTTATGTGCTTTAAGACAAATGCAAATTCATGTGCAAATTCATAAGTAAACCAAAGTCTCAAAATCGCAGTTTGAAATCGCAGGTGGGTGTGAGTGGAAATGTTCATTGAACCGTATACTAAATGAGGCAAGGGTGTAGAGTTACATTCAACCTATTTTAAGGGATGAAAGCAAAAACTTTTCAATTTGTAATTTTGTAATTTGTAAACATCAAATATGAGTTTTTAAGGGATACAAAATATTGACTATACAGAGGGACTTTAAAACCAAAGTTAAGTTGAAAATATCTGAAAAAAATTCTAAATATTCAGAAATATTTTATGAGTTTGAGTAGGATCATGCATCAATAAACTAGATTCCAGGCTTGACGTTATAAAAGGCTAAAACCTGCATAGTATTTGTCTTTTCTGTATGTGTTTAGTTATCTGAGTACAGGACAGAAGAAGGGTCCAATGTTCAGAGCTGTGGAACCAAATCAGGTACATCAATTGTGTACTTAATACTGATTTGTTGTTTTTTAAATCTTATTATTAAATCAAAATTTTTACAATATTCTAAAGTTGATATATGCAATTATGCATTAAAAATCACACCTGTTTGTCCATGTACTGGCGTGTTATGTTGTGTTTGTGTTTTTTTTGTTTTGTTGCTGTGGATGTTTTGCTGAAGTGTGTCATAAAGAGGAGGAGTGGGAGAAAGCGGTGTTATTGTCCCTTCCAACAATAGAAGGCCAGGGGAGGCACGCTAGACTTATCAGATCAGAAAGCTTGTTAGGACATGTTTAAGAGCCTGACCCCTTAATGCTGTGCACAGAGCTGCTAAAACCACTGTTAATAATAGCCTTGAGAGCAGGGGACACTGACTCAGCATCAACATATTTGATAAACTGCTCATTAGACAGCGATGTACTTGCCAAATAAAGAAGTGGACATTAAATATTGATTTGCAGTTTTTGTTTTATGTGAGAATTAAAGGGTTAGATCACCCAAAAATGAATTGATGACTCACTCTCATGTCGTTTCAAGCCCGTAAGACTTCCGTTCATCTTCAGAACACAGTTTAAGATATTTTAGATTTAGTCTGAGAGCTTTCTGTCCCTCCATTGAAAATGTATGTACGGTATAATGTCCTTGTCCAGAAAGGAAATCATCAAAATAGTCCATGTGACACCAGTGGGTTAGAACGTTTTGAAACATCGAAAATACATTTTGGTCCAAAAATAACCAAAACTACGACTTTATTCAGCATTGTATTGTCTTCCGGCTCTGTTGTGGGCCGTGAGATTTTACGTAGTGAAACTACGCAAAGCTTCTAGGTTGCACGTCACATGCTGATTATGTGTGTGACGCATGTGACGTACAACCTAGAAGCTTTGCGTAGTTTCAATACGTAAAATCTCGAGGCCCACAGAGAAGGAAATGAATAGTTGAATAAAGTTATTTTTGTTTGTTTTTTTGCGTACAAAATGTATTCTCGTCGCTTGATAAACTTAAGATTGAGCCACTGTAATCGCTCGGACTATTTTAACGATGTCTTTCATAACTTTTGGGCCGGCCAGTTTCGATCCCTTAAGAAGCCTATGGAGGAGTGATCCAGCTCACAGATTTAATCAAAAATATCTTAATTTGTGTTCCGAAAATGAACGAAAGTCTTGCGGGGTTGGAACAACATGAGGGTGAGTAATTACTGACAGAATTTTCATTTTTGGGTGAACTATCCCTTTAAGAGGATGCAATGTGATATGAGAGACATGAAGAGAGACTGTGTGGGAAATTAGTTTCCTGACAATAAGTTTAACAGTCACTATACAAAAAATATTGTTTGTATAGTATTCTTATCATAGACAAAATTATACATTTAATTGTCAATTAATAATAAGTTCTCTTTTTACAGGCGAAAGCACTTGTCAGGCCTAATGTGTCTGCAAAATGGAGGAAGGTCATCACTCTACCCTGCATCATACAGTGAGAACTCATTTTAGACATTTAAATGCACAAACCTAATGCTTTAACTCTGTTAAACCGCACTTTTTTTCCATGCTTTCAGAGAAATTCAAATGTAATCTTCCTTCTCATATTCAGTGTATTTAGGAACGGGGACATCCTCAGTCCTGTCATGCGTCTGATCATTCCCAGACACATGCAGAAAAATCTAGAGCAGATCCTGAGCCTCATTTCGGAAAAAGCCATGCTTCGCACTGGAGCCGTGCGCAGGTGAAAATCTTGTTTTTTAAAAAAAAAAATCTTGTTTCTTGTATGTTACAATAAGCGTTTGAAGCAAGTCCTCAGATTGTTTTGATTCCTGTTAATCATATCACTTTGTTGACCTCTCAGGCTCTGTACTCTGGAGGGCTACACAGTGACCTCCACAGAGGAGCTGGAGTCTGGGCAATGCTATGTCGCTGTTGGAACAGAGAGGTTCAAGAAACTCCCATATGTGGAGATACTGCTAAACAAAGCAACAGGAAGCAGCGCGGACAGGTGATGAGGGTGGATAATTGAGATTAACAACACTCAAATTTCTTTGCACATGCACTGAATAAAAAAAAAATATTTTATATTATATTTTTAAAATGAGTCACTCATGCTCACCAAGGTTGCACTTATTTGATCAAAAGTTCAATTATAAGTATTATTACAATTTAAAATTTCTATTTTAATATATTTTAAAGTGTATGTTATTCCTGTGATGGGAAAGCTGCCATTACTCCAGTTTTCAGTGTCGCATGATCCTTCAGAAATCATTCTAATATAATATTTTGTGCTCAGGAAACATTTCTTATTATTAGTGTTGAAAACAGCGGTACTGCTTAACATTTTTTTTAAATTCTTTGACATAGAATGTTCAAAAGAACAGTGTTTGAAATAGAAATGCTTTGAAACATTATACATGTCTTTACTGACTATTTTGATCAATGAATGCATTCTTACTGAATAAAATATTATTTCTTTATTTTCAAAATTATGATTTTATTGATCGCATACATCTGACTTCAAATATATCATTTACAATGCATAAATGAAATCATGTTAAATAGGATCTATCTGTCTTCACTCTAGACATTACGCAGGAGACAGAGGATTACAGAGAAGAATTAAGGTACTGTTTATACTTAATATACAGTGGAGTTAAAATAAATAAATCTTAAAAATATATATATATTACAAATCATTATGAAATCATATAATAAATATATCAGACTACGTATGGAGCCCAGCTGTATATTTATTTTTAGTGTCAGAATAATAATACCTTTTCATAAGACAAATTGTTCTATTGAAGTTCGTTAATGTTCTCATATGACGATCCGACTCAGAGTAGGAAGATTTTTCCCCAGGACAGCCACAGTGACTCCACCCTCCTGAATTCACCCGAGGTAAAAACTAAATGCTCAGTTTTCTAATTCTCCCTTTCCCCTCCTCTGTTATGTGCTTTAAATTAGAGTGTCATCGTTCAACCGAACCCAAAATCATTGACCCACTATATTCTCTTGTGTAAATGCTGTCTGCTTTCAGAGGGAAGGCAGGCGTGTGAAGTCCACAGGAGATGAGCTGGAGCGAGAGAGCTCCCCTCAGCTGGTAAAGAGGAGAGGAAGGAGAGGAGAAAGAGAGGAGAACTCTGTTTTCTACGCCAGACCTGTGAGAGTTCGCAGACACTCAAACAGACCCCCACCTAAAGACACAACAGGTGAATGCTGAACAAGTAAATAAAATATACTTAAATGTAACTTTTTTGTTTATTAATCTGTTGCAGTCTCTCTTGTGTGATAGATGAGCACAGTGTGTTTAAGGCCCCTGAGAACAGTATGAGAGAGGAGGTTCGAGGTGCTGAAGAGGTCGCAGAGGATGAAAACACAACTGTAGAGCTTCCCATTGACCAGGTACACCTCTCCCCTCTTTTGTCCCATCTCATCTCATCTAGTCTTTTCTAAAATCATTATCATTTCAGAGAGAAGCAGATATTGTGGAGGATGAAGAGCCTCCTGAAAGAGATCCGTTTGACCCAGCCAGTATAAATCATGTGAGTGTGTGAAATGCACATGATAGTAATGACAAGTCAATCATTTAAACCTGTTTATTATTAAACACTATTTATTCCAATTAAGATGCATTTTGGTGAAATACACAGTCCATCAGCTGATCTTTCTAGTGAAATCAGAGAGACAGAGTTTGTAGTGTCCGAGAGGGAGGCATGGGACGACACGTCAGCTTTGCTGAGAGAAACAGGGGTACATGTCCAGCAATGCAAATAAACATGACACTGTAAAGACACAGTGCATTGAACATGGAGGGATTACCTTATCACCTTAAGAGGGATTATTATATAATTTCATAAAATGATGCAGATTTTCTTGAGGATCATTTCTTTCATTTCATTCCTGTTTAGGAGTCAGACACACGGCATTTCAAATCATCATCATCATCATCACTCAGGGTCTCTGAACATTCCCCACGAAGTGAAGAAACACAGCAAGAAACAGTCAGTTTATGAGTTGTGAACAATATATTTAATGCATAATGATTTTTAAATGCATATGTAGTGTAGTGCCATCTCTAGTAACGGCCTGATATATTTAATTGCTTGTGGTAGCCAATAATGCATCATTTTTTTTATAGTTTAATATTGGATTACGTATTTAGAAATTATTTGTAAACATTAATCATTTAAATACCTTGTCTTGCTCTCTTTGTGTATGTATCAGACTTTGGGTTCCTATGAGGAACAGACTGACAGGGATGCTGAGCGCCCTCCCCAGGCTGAAGATGATGCTGGAAACAGAGACACACCTTCCCAATCCACACACATGCTCTGAACATGGAGATTGTGAAAAATGGCATTTGAAAAAAATGTAACAGTGTCCTCAAAATGTAGAGATTCACTGAAAAATATGCTTTTTATTTCTTATGTTTAACAAAATATGACCTCTGAAAATAAAATACATTTAAAATAAATGTATGTAAACACTGGCCACATCCACATTATTAGTACAAATCCATATAAGCTTCTGATAATAAAACAATATGTACAAGTATTTTGTAAAATCCACATACGCTCAAAAGTTTCCACAGTTGTAATTAAAGTGCAAAACATTTGGATTTTCACCAACAGTTCAAGTAAAGATATTAAGTTATACATTTTTCAGTTTTCAGATATACAGTTTTCTCCAGGTAAAGGTATGGTATATACAGGGGAAAAAAAGCAGCACAGATATTGTGTCAGTTTTCAATGAGGTGAATATGTTTGGCAACATGGCTGGAGCCGACCGATCTCCTCATTCACCTTCCAGGCCAGTGGCATCATGTTTTAGTGGTCACTTGTGTTACGGAGCCCTGTGCCGTCCGTCTCAGAGACAGAACTCAGGATGCACAAAGTCACTCCAGACATGATGAGTAACATTCCCAGCAGAGCTCCTGCATGAGAAGAGAGACAGAGAGTGAAATATCTGTGTGGCAGACTAAATGATGTTATTAAAGATACTTCAATACCATACCCTTTCCTCCAAAATCTTCTCCAAGCAATTTACCCATTAGTAATGTGAACAGAAATGTGAGGGAATTCACCATGGGAACGGCCAGAGATAGATCTACAAAACAAACAGCACTTAAAATCTCAACACTAACGTCACAATAATATTCTATCATGATTGAGAATCATATAAACTGAAGAAATGGTAAGAGTATGCTATTCCTAACATAAGTTGCCAATACCTAGAAATTTCTCACCTGTAGAAGCGAGAGTGAAATAGAAAACTACTGATCCACTTTGGTTTAACAAGAATGGCACCAGATACTATAAAATACATAATATATATAAATTATATAAAATATACAAAAATTCTGGTACAGACTACATGCATAAAATAATTACACACCTTGAGATTAAGAAAAAGGAATTTGATCTCGGCCAAAAACTGGAGGAGTTTGTTGTCCCTCTGAACTCCTTCAATGCCCTCTGAGCCTTTTTTCAGGAAGGGGTTTGTTCCTCCCCACAAGATCGCGACCAACAACAGACAAAACACTTCACCTGGAGAGAACGTTTATGCGATATTTTTAAATGAACAATTCAACCCATTTATTATTATTATTATTATTATTATTTAAACAATACGAATAGTGATTCCATATAAATACGCAGACACACTTGTGGAAGACGCATTTATTGCTAAATTCGGAAACGCATACGCCATTGAAAGAGACGGTAAACGTAGAGTTACTAGTATACAGTTCCGAATTCAGCTCTAAACCTTTGTAAGCATAGTCACCTGCTGACACCATTATATTCTTCAAGCAAATGAAACCATAGAATCATAGAAACTGGTCTGGCGCTGCACTTTCAACTTCTTCTTGTATGATTTCATGGATTTTTTATAATCCAAGTTTTGGTATTTTACCGCCACCAACTGGACTGGAGTGTGAAGCACCAATGGAAGGAAAAAAACATAGGGAAAAACAAAACAATCACGAGGAAAGAAAAAATAATTCAATTTGTGCCATGGATATGTCATTTAAATACTAATTTACAATTCGGTATTTTGAGATAGCTAAGTACATTCTCTGGTATGAATTGGCTTTATGCACAGCTGCACTACTTCTTGAACGCCAGCTCCCTTGTCTATGTTGTTTCCTGTCTGCCATTATTGGCCAAGCTTGATTAATTCAGGTGTGTAGTTCTGAACTAATCAATTTGTCCAATAATGGCAGACAGGAAACAAAGGAGCTGGCTTAAGTTCAGGAAGTAGTGCAGCTGTGCATAAAGCCAATTGTGAGCTGTTCTATTTTTGCTATTTGCACCTGTTTTTTTATTATTTGTTTTAAACCAGGTATATATATATATATATATATATATATATATATATAATTTCAGGGTTTTGTTCTACAATATCCTGCCTGGTCAAACATTAAATAAAACTAAAGTAAACTAATAATAATAAAACGAGCTAATCAATGTCTTCGGGCTTACTAATGCTGCTGTATGTGTACTAATAATTCGCTTATACTACTATACTTTTGTGAAGAAAAAGTACATAGCCTGCTTTTGAGTGTGTAGCAAAAGAGTAATATTTTATAATGATTTGCATGTTTAGTCAACTGTAGGCTACGTGGTTTGTTGTGTTAGGAAAATAAGATATAAGGCAAGATTGATGTGTTATTGCATTAATAAATTACGACTTCTGGTTTCCCATCACATTGCAGTTTGAAGTTGCAGTTTGATTAGCCTACACTAAACTTGTTGGTGGAATTGTTTAACCAGAACACACACAGTTATGCTGTTAATGTCCTAAATATTAAACCTCATTTCATGTTGATTTTTACATGATTAAAAATATTAATCCTACAATGTAAACTAATGTGTTCTAAGTTAGAGTAGCTGCATGCAGTTTTGTAGCGTCTGTGGAAACACGGATATGCCTCTGATAGATAACACAACAAAGAGTCGTGACCACGTGTTGCTACAAAAAAAAAAAAAAGAAAGAAAGAAAGAAGTGATATCAGTCTCATTTTAAAGATGTTTCTTTTATGTTTCGCGTGGATCGTCGGTGCTGGTAAGAAAAGCCTATTTATAGCTAATCGAATGTTTTAACGTATAATTATTATAAGGTAAATCATAAAATATTAAATACATTAGTCATTTCACCACCATTAGTTTTCAGCAGTTCAGCAGTTGCATCTGGTAGCTTAGAAATTAGAATTAACCGTTGATATATTATTTTTCATTGTAGGTTTTGCATACCAATATTTATTAAACTATTTCCATAATGTTTGTTTTTAAATGTGGTATTCGTATTAGGGGATGTAATGTTTATAAGGTACTCTTAAGTATAAAGATAATATTTTTGGTCATCTGATTATTGCTGTCAAGATATTAAAGGTTTGATTAACTAATATGTTAAAGTGATACCATTAGTGGCATGTTGTTGTTTTTTTTTTTTTTTTTTTTTTTTTTTATCATGTAATGTAGGCTACGGGAGGTGATTCAACCCTGAATACAAGCTGCAAAATCTTAATTTTTATTTTTTGTAAATGAGAACAAATCTTACATTAAACTTAAAGTCAGACCACATTATTTTAGCCTCTTTTAGGGTGAATGTTCCTGACAAGTTTTTGGTGGTGATCCGGGGTCGTCCAGCTGTACTGGGCTGTGAGTTCACACCAGATCCTGACCTGTCCAGCCTTGTGCTTACCTGGCAACGGGACTCACGTGTTGTCCACAGCTTCTATTATCAACAGGACCAACTGGACCGCCAGAGTCCAGAATACCATAATCGGACATCATTGTTTATTTCAGAGATTGGTAAAGGAAATGCCACCCTTAGAATAAATTCAGTTGGACCTAAGGATGTGGGTCAGTACCTGTGCTTTGTGAGCAATGCTAAAGGGACGGGAAAAGCCCAGATAGAGCTGGACTACGGGGGTATGCTGTCCTTAAAATAAACAGAAATTATTTTTTATGCCATTTTATTATTAAAGCTTGGAAAACAAAAGTTTTAAACTTTAATGGTGACTTTAGTATGTTAACTGATACGCAGTATATCTTTTATATAATTATCTGTAGCCTATTTGAATATGTTTAGTCAAATACCTGTAACAGTAATACATAGGCCTATAGGGCATTCTTTAGGAGATTTTTAAAACGACTAAAAGTTACTGATGGTGTATCTTTGCTTCCCGATGATACTAAATTAACTCTCTATGTTTCTCAGCTCTTTACTCTGAGCCCAGGTTAAGCATCCATGTAAACTCCTCTGCGTTGACAGTGCAGTTTGAGACGGAGGGATTCCCCAAACCTGAGGTGATCTGGCTGGATGAACATGGCCAAAACCTGAACTATCACCTGGAGCTCCACGCCCAGACAGAAGATGGGCTTTATTTAGTCAAGAGCAGCTATGAGGCCCAGAAGCCGGTGGTTAATATCACATTTACACTAAAGAACCACCTCCTGAACCAGAACCTTCAGAGACCCGTGTTCCTCGACTATGGTAAATTCTCCTATTTCACTTTGAACTAAGTGCATGTCAGAAGGTTTTCACTGGGGTTAGTGAAGTAAAAGTGTGATATTAAAATTCAGACCTATTCACCTTGAAAATGGAAGTATAATACCCATAATAGCCATGATTTATCCATAATGAATATAATAAGATGTTCACAGTCTCTGTGAAAGTGACTTTGAATTAAGTGCTATATGACATGTGAGAGGATTTGTGAATTCATTCCAGTTCTGCAGGCACATTTTCAGTGTGCATGAGGTCATGTTTATTTTAATAAGAATAATAGTCCATTGACTATCAAGGAAAAAACACTTCCCACATCACCTCATAATAAAAGAATGAAACAGTATATTTTTAAACCAGTTTTGCTGGGAACAGTTAACATCAGATAACAAACTTAGATCTGTCGTCTTTCATAGAGACAACCACAAATGGAGGAAATTAACTCAATGTTATTTCTTTAAACCAAGTTTTTCTTTTCAACCAAGCCAAAGCAGAAATGGAAACATTGATCAGCCCATAGTGTTTTAACACAAGTTTTACTTGCTCAACCAGCAGTGAGTAAAAAAATCAGTTACTGATATTACTGCTACAGGTTGTATTGATGCAAAGTTGATGGATATAATGTTTAACCATACTCAAACATGAGGAAGAACAGATGCTGGGTTGTTGTAATTACTTCTAAATAGTGTGTGGGAAAAAGCAGCCAGCATCAGATTGCAGTGATTATGTTACACAGTCAACAAGTACAACTAGTTGGGTTTGAAAACCTAGTTTGAGCAGTAACTGTCGTTCATTTGTTTCATTAATTTTGTAAGGCTGAAAGCATGCTGCTATTTTTAACAAATAATCGAAACAAAAGGCAGTTGAAGGATGGTGTGTATAATCCAAATATTTATCTGACTCTAATGTAATTCTGATTCCATAAAGTTGTTGTTAATCTTTGACCTCTTATTCTTTAAAGGTAAAGGTCTTTCTTAGAACTGATGGGAACACAGGATTTAACCTGAACATTTAGATAACAAAAATTAAGAACGATTTTCAAAGCAAGCAAAGTAATTTATTAATTTACATGTTTAAATATACTGGCTGTAGAATGAAACAACATACTGTATAGTAAACTTAGTTGTAACAAATAATGCACTGTTGTGCAGACGAGGCCGTGGAAACCTTTCTCATAGCACGGTTACAGACTTTCTCCTAGATCAACAGTTAGCTTTCCTACTTATACCCTGAGCAAAGCATTGTTAAACATGAGTGGAATACCAACACCAAAACCGACAGGAAACTAAAACATGAGGCAAATGCGTGCTAAGAACATTAACATTCTCCTCAATGCATGTTTAACCAGTACTTTGTACATTAGGATACTTTAATGTCTAATTTAATTTCACCACCATCCATTTCAGTGTATAAATTGTCAGATGAGACCAAACATGACATAGTTACATATTAGAACATACTAGTAGGCTAATTAAAACAGTATGTAGTTGAAAGCATATGTCCTGTGTAGCAAATGATAGACATGTCATTGAGGTGCAAATGACTCTGCCTCTAACAGAACCATCCTGTGCCTGGAGTGTCCCAACAGTCCTCATTCTGCATATTAATGAAGCTCTATGTTTGCTCTGCCGTACAAATAAGAATACAAATATCATGATCACATTTTGTAAAAGAAACTCGACCAAAAACACAAGAAAATGTTGAAATGTTTTTTTTTTTGTTGGACTGAATAAACATTTATAAAATATATCGCATTATATATTTTTTTTCTTTGGATTTTTTTCCTCAAGTAACCACTTGTATCTGAAGCTTGATTTCAATTTGGTGCTAAATCCTCTAAACCCATTTTAATAATAATAATAATTGTGGTTTGAGGTAGAATCGATGCTTTATATCCAGTAATATTATTGATTTGTTTGCATTGACACTATCAGATGTGAACTGAACTGAGCTAGATGATGACATCACTGTTGTCTCCAGAATAACGGAATTGATTACTGATGAACTTTGCAGTTGTTGAACTGAACTGGATCAACAATGAACTGGCTTCAGCTGAGCAACGACACTGTTGTCTTTTTACAGCTGCTTTACAGCAGAATTCTGTTTGCATCATTGATCGTCACGTTCCTGTTTTTTTTTCTTTCAGTTTCAATTGAGGCTGGAGGTAGAAGTTGGAAGACAGCAGCAATAATTTCTGTCAATAATAAGCGCCATTCTTTTTGCTGTTGTGATGTTTTTACTATTTAAAAAAACAATAAAACCCTATATTTGAACCTCGTCAGCTTTCTGTAAATATATTGGTTTCCATTGAGCTGTCTGGAAAGAGATACTGTATCTGCTAAGCAACACTTATTAAATGAGAATAAAATAGCAGAAAAGCAAAGTGGACTTGTGGGAATTTTAGCAATGTTATCATCCTCACAAACCCTTAAAACCACAAAAATTGAATTGTTTATGATCCATGATTAGTCTACTTGCGTAAAACAGATCAGTTCATCAAGGGTGTTGCTGTCATGATCATGGCAGTATCCACCCTATACTTATTGCTAGTTGCACAGAAGTCTATAGATTACAGAGAATTATCAAGTGCTGTGTCAACAATGACAGACCAGAAAAAAATCCCTTAAACAGTGAACAGTTGATATTGTAAACACTGGGTTTCTAAGGGAATTTAGATTCTTATTATCGAAAGGTGTGCAACTGTTAGATTGTGTGTAATGATGTTTGTCTTGGGTTTGTAATGAATGGAAGGCATGAACATGACTGAGCCAACTCTTGCATGTTACACAAAAGGTAAATGCTCCATAGTTGCACAAGCATCCAGTACAAACTTCAAAATATGCAGAAGTTTAGTGTATTACTTATGTCAAGGTAATGGTAAATGGTTAAGGTAAGCACAATATTAATTCAATTGTCTATTCATACCATACAGAATCATGATTATTGCAGTTAAAATATTAAATATTTAACTGAAAATTCAGTGTGTGAGTAAATTCATCATTTCATATGACAGATTTAGCACAAAAACAAAAATAAATAAGCAGTAAATACAAAGAAATGACTTTTGGCACACCCACAAACTCCCTCTTACAGTCTCTTTTTTGTTGACATCTGCTCATTTGAGCATTCTAGCGTAAACTGACGTTAACTAAAGAATCCGATTGTCTGTGCACTGAACAGACATTTAATCTACTTGCTTTTCACATGGCCAGTGATTTATGAGCACAGCAATGCAACAGGTCGAAACATGCATGCATTGCACAGAATTAGTCATAGCTTCAAACAGGAATCATTAATTTACACGGTTCACAATCCCAGTTGAAGGTCTGCACTTGTTTCTTCTGCGCACAAACCAAATTATAGCAATGACCAGAAAAACGAAACCCACAGACAGGACAAGAGCAATGGTGCCTTGATTTGCAGTTGTGTCCTTATCTGAAACAGAAAAAGAAGCTTTGCTTAATGTGGTAAGTGCTTCAGAATGTGTCAAATGCACTGTTAAATCTAGATTTAGACAGATATTGTACAGATATATTTATTTCACAATATAAAAAAAGCATTTAAGATTAAAATCCTTCAAAAAGCTTTCAAACCCTGAAATTCAGTATATAGATATTTTGGAAGTGTACAATCAGTTACTCGGATGACAGTTAACCAAAACCATTTATGCTATATTTGGGAATTAACTTTGCATTCTGTAATCACAATGTGACACACTGAATAGCAGGTCTGAGTTTACATTTGATTTTTTTTTTTTTTTTTTTTGTTAGTTTAAAATGCCATCTGTGTTCTGTCCACTAGTTAACCATTAACCTTTAATGTCCGTTAAATTAGAAATTCTCTGGAGCTCCACTAGTAGAAAATGTTTGTAACTAGGTTACAGAGGCACAGATATTTGACAAGGGAAAAACAGACCACTCATGTATAACGTTAAGATTACAGTATTATGATAAAGGAAATCGAGACAACTAAAAAAAATCATAGTGTTTACCAATAAAATGCCCTAAAATGGCAAATGGCTTCCATGATTTCATCTAAGACACAATGCTTCTGTTGAAAGATTTTAATGATATTTTAGGGAAAACCCACAGCTATAATTAGTGTTTCTAAACCCTGTTCCTGGAGACCCACCAATGCTACACCCAAATTAATCCAGATATTTGAAAATAATGCTTACCTGTCCACCTTACTGTGCATGCATTTCAGAAAGATATGTTCCCTTTCACATGATATAGTTTGTCTTAGTGTGGACCAATGTGTAGAGAAAAAGATGCAGCTGGTAGTACAGACTCCAAGAGCTCAAATTGATGGGTCAGAAAAGTGTGTTCTGTTGGTGTGACTTCAATAGGCCATTTCCTAAACCAAACCACTAGGGGTTAAATCAAAAATGATAATTCGAAGCAATAACCCACAGGCTAACCCTAAACCTAACCACTAAATATAATTGGTTGATAGGCGTGCTGATCCATGAACAACCAATACTTGGGTAAATTATGAGTAATAATTAAAGTATTTCTGATCTTAATCTTGACAAACCATTTAAAAAAACACTGAATCACTCTCAGTTTAAATACTTTTAAATAGTTGTTAATTACCTTCTGGGTTAGGAATAATGGGTGCGGCCAAAATCAATCATCTCAGTAAACAGCACTGCAGTTTATTTTAGCTTATTAACCAACATCCAAGCCTCTTTAAATGACATTATAGTTAGATAAATGTAGTTTGCTTTGGGTGTTTCTACATTAGGCAAAATTGCGCTACCACTTTTGCGTAATCACCTCAAAGACTCACATTTCTCATTGATCAAGTTTTAATCTGCAATGCAATTCCAATGGTCTTACATCAACTGGAAAAGTCAAGTCTGTAGATGAATCAATTGATGTACTGTTCTATATTTCCATATTTTTTTTAGGTGTGGAAACCCAACCTTATGTAGACAAAGGAGTTCTGTGTTGTTAAAATAGCATGAAAATGATGCCAAAAAAATCACTTGAGGCAAGACAAACATGCCTGAAATGCATACAGTAACAGATGACATTCCTCTAACTGTCACCTCCTCACACACACACTTTGAAAACAGAAAGTCATACCATAGTTGAGGAACACGGGTCTCTGAAGGTTCTGGTTTAGGAGGTGGTTCTTTAGTGTAAATGTGACATTAACCGCCGGCTTCTGGGCCTCATAGCTGCTTTTGACTAAGTAAAGCCCATCTCCTGTCTGGCCGTGGAGCTCCAGGTGATAGTTCAGGTTTTGGCCATGTTCGTCCAGCCAGATCACCTCAGGTTTGGGGAATCCCTCCGTCTCAAACTGCACTGTCAACGCAGAGGAGTTTACATGGATGCTTAACCTGGGCTCAGAGTAAAGAGCTGAGAAAGAAACACATAATCAGCTGTGTTGTATTGAAATATACTGAAGTAAAATGTAAAAAGAATATCGATTGTTTTAACTACTAAAGTAATTTTCTAGCTTATAAAATGTATTTTACAATGAAGCATAAGTAGGACACTGTTTACTGGAAATCACACTTTATATATTTCAAGGCTTTTCATGACCATGGGAAACATGAAACATGATACAGCAAAACCACTGCAGACTTATTCTCAATTCTTAGGATACCTAATCCTCAAACAAAAATAAACTTAACAGTAAAAAGAAACTGGAATTTGAATAGCTCATTTGTTTATGTTTACTCTGTATCAAATGAAAATGAACCAATTCATAAAAGCCGAGCTGTACGCTTTTGAATCACAAACTATTATTTTATATTATTATTAGACTACACAGGAATTACTTCTAAGTAAGTAAATTCAGTGAAAACTTTAAATTCAGTAGCAGAGAAAAGTACAGGAATCACTGAGCATTTTCGTATGGTGATCCGCCCACATTGATGGAAGAATGCACATGCAGGAACAGTTAATGCAATGAAACGTCATTTGGTTGCTATTTTTTTATTTTGATTATTATTTGCAATGGAACTGATTCTGAATAGGAACCAGTTCTCAGTTCCAAAACTTACATTAATCACTGGAATTACTTTTCCATAACCATAAAAAAGACACATACCTCCATAAGTCACATTCATCAAGGCTTTTCCTGTTCCCTTTGCATTGCTCACTATGCACAGGTACAGCCCTGCATCCTTCGGTCTAACTTCTGCAACTCTAAGAGAGGCATTTCCTTTATGAAGCTCTGAAATAAAAAGTGACGTCCGGTTGTGGAATTCTGGACTCTGTCTGTCCAATTGGTCCTGCTGATAATAGAAACTGTGGACAACCTGTGAGTCTTCCGATCGTTGCCAGGTAACCACCAAGTTGGAGAGGTCAGGATCAGGTGTGAACTCACAGCCCAGTACAGCTGAACCACCACGGATTGCCAGCAGATGCTTATCAGTGACAATCACTTCAAAAGAAGCTGAAAAGAGGCAGCAAGGAAAGGAATTAGATTTGCTTGAAACACTGCTGGGTAAAGAGAAATAAAGTTTTACTTCATATTTAATACATTCCTTCATACATTCGCTATAGCAACTATCTATAACATACTGTAATGAAATATTTCATATCTAAATGTTACTTGGGGGGGAAAATGCTTTATCCAGCCTTGTAATATCTTGGACTCAACTCTGTATAAGCATCAACAATGGTATGAGTTTGGGGTGCTTTATTGTTCATAATTTGAAATTCAAATGTTTATCTAATGGGAGGACCATAAGTTGTAAAGGAATAAAAAATGTAAACAAAGTTTAAGATATCAAGTCTGTTTAGTAAGAAAGAAGAACCGCTTTTAATATACAGCTGTCAAGAAATGCAGTCTATATTTTGCATTTTAAATTATATGTTTTGATGTGCAGTCTTTAAGTAATATACTTCTTTCTATTTATAGGCTACTCTGTAATTTTTCAGATCAAAGACTGAAACATATAGCATCACAAAACCAAATTTAGTGAAAAACACTTCCATGACCTTGTGTGCCCTTACGAAAAATAAGTTTGAAAGAAATAAGTCTACTATTAGTATACTTCTAAGAAATTAAAATAATAAAGTATACTTAAGTTTCATTCTACTTTTTATATATTTCTCAGAAATATACTTAAAATTGCACTTTAAGTACTTGACTTATACTGGCAGAAAAGTTATGCATACAATGCTGTACTATATTTGGCCTATAATTATCTTTTTATTGAGGTATAGGGCCTACTTATAAAGGTATAATTAAGTAAGCCAAGTGGCTTGTTGTAGCAGTATTTCACCCACACATTTTTTACGAATTTTTAAAAAGTTATTGTTCTTGATTTTAAATGCATAAGTACGCTATTTGCATGGTGACATGCCGCATCAGACGGCTTTATTATAACGCCCTAAGATTTATATTAAACGTAAGTCTTACCCACAAGAAGAGCAGTCGCGAAGCACAAAAGTAGCCAAAGCATCGTCGCATGGAGTCATGGTTTAAAAACTAGGCAGTTCAGTTTAGCGTTGATCCAATGCAAGTCAGAAATAAAATGTATTCATTAAGCTATATTCTACTACACGGTTTACGTGATATTCCCTTTGAAGACATGCTTCCATTCCATTCCCCTGGAAAGCTTCAGGAGAATGGAAAACAGTGCACCTGGCTTCAGTGCGCGGGCTGCGATGCAAGGGGAGGGGATGGGCGTTACAGTAAGTGGGCATAACTTGGAGTAGGGTGAGTCTGTGTGACCGATAGACATCATAAAGTACAAGAAAATATTAACCAAATGGAGGAAATGAATCATTACTGGTTCATGGGAGGGGGAGGGGGAGGGGTCCACAATGACATTTACCCCCAAATATTTAAAATTATTACAAAAACTCGTAAAAAAACAAAAGTTTAGAATGGCTGCACATTCACTGTCCTCGCGGCTGCTGCAACTTGAGGTGACTCAACTCCCAATTTTTACACCTTATGGTTCACCATGATTCTCATATCACAGGATGCTACTGCTGCAACCAAGGATTTGATTTTACTTCCTTCATGGGAGTCAGGGCAGGGCACAGGATTATGTTTTTTTTTTTTCCATATACGTTAGCCTGTAATGCATAATGTTGGCTACTTGTAGCAGGCCCTACTTATTGGTTGTTATACCCATAATTACACTAGTGTGCATTATGGACTCTCGATGGTCTAATTCTCGAGGAGCGCCAACATCTCCAGTAGCACCTCATTGCAGTACACGAGATCCAGGGGGCGGAGTCGGATCCAGATCTGAGGGGTGGAGTTGCGTATTTTTAGGGGTGGGTTTAGGCATAGATATCATATAGGTAGACGCCCTATGGCACGGACGAGAATTGGAGCCGCCATCTTAAACCGGTCATCCGCTCCTCTCAGTGTAATCTGAATGGCAGGTGAAATGAGCTGTCAGCGCATTAAATTAATAATATCTCACTAACTGATTTTCACGCGGTTTTTTTTTTTTTTGCTGCAAAGGTCATTCATGTAGCTATGATACAGGACACATGGTTCGGCGTATTTTAATATCCATTGTAGGTTAACAGTAATATAATATTTTAATATAAGATATAAAGTGACCAGACACATGTGATGAAGGATATAATGTATTTTATAAATCACACACCATATAAAAGAAGCAGAAACAGATAGTAGCAGTAAAGTAAGATATTTTAATAAGTTGAAGAAACAGTTTATGATTGACACACGCACACACACACACACACACACACGAACACACACACACACACACACGCACGCACGCACACACACACACACACACACACACACACACACACACACACACACACACACACACACACACACACACTTTCTAGAAGGCAGCCACCGAATCCACCGAACGCAGCCACCTGTAATAAAAATTGAGAACAAGCTTTTCAACGTGTTTGCATCAGTAACGTTGATTTTTAAAAATTATATTCGGACAATTAAGCCTATACCGTTTTTTATCGTATGTAGGAGGGGAAAATGTCGAGACTAAAGCCCTATCGGATTAACTTTACACTTTACAACTTTACATGTGTTGGACTAACTTTAGATGGAGAAAGTTAATGTAATTTTACCACAGGACTTCTGTAATATCAATAGCCAAATCGCACGTGGTAAGATATAGGTTATCAATAAAACTAGAAGTTGGAGAGGTAACTCAAAATGCTCCACAGTGCTCTGGCATCTTGCTGCCACGCAACGAGACTAGGAATACGACCGGTTCAAGATGGCGGCCGGATTTTTCGTTTTCCAGCGGCCAATAGGGTATCTAGTCTTTATATGATATCTATGAGTTTAGGGATCAGGGTGGAGCTGGGTAGGTTTAGGGAGGAGTTGGATCTGGATCCAACTCCTTCCCGTAGATTTCATGTTCTGCAGTGAGAACCATCAACATTTTGGCTATCGAAAATTTCCAGTAGCACCTCATTGCAGTACACGAGATCCAGGGGCGCAGTTGGATCCAGATCTAAGGGGTGGAGATGGGTAGGATACTAGGATTAGGGGAGAGTTAGGGATCAGGGGGCGGAGATGGATAGGTTCAGGCAGAGCCGTATTTTTTTTGTGCATCGGTAATTTCTAATGTCATGTTCTTTTACAGATCCACAAGCCAAAATCAAAGGAGATTTTCTTTTTTGACTCCATGAACCCTGTAGACTTTGGACATGGGAGTTTAGCACATTTCTATTTTGTCCTTAATAACATGCGTGTGTTTGGAGTTCATAGTAACACAAATTGATGTCTGTGTTCGTTCTTATGTATACCAGCTTCTTGTTTTATTTTGTAATGGTCTTTAGGCTATTTCATTTAAAATGAACTGGCTATACATTATTATTATTATTTTTACAGGTGGAACAGTGACGGTAGTACTTTCATTCGACTGCATGGACGTGAAATGTGTTGTGCATTATGAAATATATCCTGGATTTGTTTGAGCTCATACTTTTATGTTTCAGCCAATTATTATTTTTGGTATTATATAATTATATATCAGTCATAGTCTTCTTCATTTATATAGCGCTTTTACCAATGTAGATTGTTCCAAAGCGGCTCTTCAGTGATAAACGTATAATTTAAATAATAGTAAATAATTACACATAAGGCTCTAACATAAGGCTCTAACATTTTTATTGCAAGATCATAAATGATGTCTTTATTAACATGTGACTGCCCGTGAATAAATCACATTTTTTTTTATTGTTGTATTACTTTAGAAAACTGGCAAATCACATTTCTCCTGGCCACTGGAACATGTCTATATACTGACAGATTTGGAGGTGCAGCTCTTTGCTAGTAAAATTTTAATATCTGTAGTATTGCTGTGATGTTTGTCCTTCTGTAAATTTCTCCTATCTACATACAGTATATGGAGCTAAACCAGACAGAACACCAGATTCTTGGTCATCACTCTAACCCAGGCCCTTCTCCGTCGATTGCTCAGTTTGGAGGCCAGCTGAAGAGTCCAGGTTATTCCGAAGTTCCGAAGGATTGTGGAGGCTACATGCTTTTGTGAATCTTCAATACAGCAGAATGTTTCGTTTATTGCAGTCTTCCCCAAATCTGTCTTGACACAATGCTGTTTCTGAGCTCTACAGGCAGTTCCTTTGCCCTCATGGCTTGGTTTTTTCAGCTGTTAGACCATTTGATGTGTGTGCATTTCCAAATCATACCCATTCAATTGAATTTGCCACAGGTTAACTACCCTCGAACTGTAGTAACATCTACAATGATATTACTGAATGCTCCTGAGCTGAATTTCAAGTGTCCCATGAAAAGGGCATGAATAGGCAATGTAAAAAGGTAATTTAATGTAGGCTTAGTTTAAATAAGGCAAAGGCAGCAACATAAAAGATAAAAATGTAATATTTCTAATACTTTCGCAAGCCACTATATTTATGCACATTTGTAAATAGCTTATTCTATTTGACTAGATTAATTCTTTTTCTTTAGTACTATGATGGGTATTTATTTTTAATTTTTTTGCTAAAATTCTTTTTTTGATTTTTTTATTGAATTTCAAGAATTGAATTCTATTGAACACAACAAACTTGCACTCTACGTTTACATGTTACGTCAGTTTATTAAGAGTTTCAGACAGGGAAAACCACCCATTAGTCATCAAGCTATTAAATCTTATAAACCGTATACTTTGTTATTTAACATTTTTTTTAAATGAATATATCATTAAAAAGAGCAACAGTGTTTTAATACGGCGCCGTTGTCTCTCACAGTATGTTATAATGGACGCGAGCAGTTCTGACACCCCTCCGCGCTGCTCATTTTGGTATGAGCCGCTTCGCACGCTGACTGGAAACATGTGGCTTACTGTGTTTTTTGGATAGTAGAGTCTCAATTTGCCGGTTTGTCATGTAGAGAAACACATCGCATATTTTGGTCATTAACTCAGTGATACAGTCTGTAAAACGACTGAAGACCAAGAACTGAGAACACACAGTTGTCACCCCAACAGACAGGAACTGAAGGGCCTTTAACGGTCTCTGGATCAGACAGGTGAAGCCTGGGATTCGTCATCTTCCAGTTGCTCGAGGTACGTCTTCTTTTCAATTCATCTAGTTATACATCTGCACAGATTGAAACGGTTATTCGACATAACGTTAGCATGTTCTGGGGAATTCCAGATTTCATTGTAAAGTTAGCAGATTGCCACGTTGCAGCGGTGCTGATTGCATGACATCGATTAGAAAAGAGTCACTTGCCTTGACCCCTCAAGAATCGTATTCATGTAGGATCCGATCTGTTTGACATGGATTCTGGGCGTTTAAATCTATACCGTGGATGTCTGCTGCAACGTGGGCTTGTTGGAGGCGGAGTTCACTTGGCGCCCTCACAGCGGCGCTGCTGCGCCACTTTATAAATGAGAATTCAGTTTTTTTATTATTATTATGCTTACAAACAAACAAAGATGACAATCATAGCACACAATTCTGTAACAAAATTGCAAACATATCTGTACAAAATATGACAACAATATGTACAGAGTCATCTTAACATAGGGTGAGAAAAGAAGGTAAGAGTGTAACTATCTAAAACAAAGAAAAAGAAAAGAAAAAGAAAAGAAAAAAAAGAGGGTCAAGAGAGCAAGATATTCTATACATAGTTTAGAGTAGGTCTAACTAAATTAAAGTCATTAGAAAATAAAATGTCACGCCAAAAGTGACCAAGTGACGCGGTGACACTGCATTAGGCATGTGCCGGTATCAAATGTTCATGCTGCGGTTAATTGATTGAGCTTTTATCATGGTATACGGTATTATCACGATATTTTAATTGCTCAAGAGAAACGGATGGATTGTGGGTAACGTATCTAAAAAAATAACAACTTGCATCACAATGTCTGAATGTGTAATTTTGATTTTCAAAACATATGGTAACTAAACAGAATTTTATGAAGTTTAGTGACAACATGGTACAGTGACTGCTATTGTTTGTATTATTCAATTAAATTCTTGGATTTGATTTCAATCTTAATTCAATATTGACTCATTTGGACAAACATTAGGTAGGCTATTATTAGTCTGCATGTTCATTTTTCTCAAAAAAAAAATAATGGTCACAAAATAATGCTCACATAATGCTGTAAACATACAGAGAAAATATAATGCAGTTTTCATTATAATAACAATTATGTAATGACAAGTAAACATATAATATTTAATATAGTGCACTTATTTAGTAAAATACTCACTATTTTTCTTTGTCAACTAATGTGGTGGTCATGAAATGGCTTTTCTGAGGTAAAAGTAACTTTCTATGACATGATTGTTCTCCTGCAGTTTTATTGACCTCTTTCCGTGTTTGAAAAACACTGATTGATCTATATTATGTAGGTAGGGGTGGAGCCAAACAAATAACTTTAAAAATATTTAAATATATAAATATTTGAAATATTTGTATTCGAGAAAAAGAAAAACTTCAAAAAGCTGTGTTTCCTCATGAGACCCCAGTGCGTGAGTGACGTTCAGGAAGAGGTGACTGACACAGGCTGCTCCACACAGCAACAGAGAGAGCTCGAATGAGCGAAAACACACTTCAGTAACTGCATCACTATTTTTGTTGAATAGATTTTTGTACCTTAAATGGGTCCCGGAGGCAGTTTACAACTTTCGGGAAGCAGAGTTTGAACGGGAGATTATTCCATGTTCGCACGTCAGAGGTGCCCACGCCAACGGATGTGCAGTTGCCGCAGCACAGCCTATGAGTGAGCCAGACACTCAATGTGCTAGCTGTACAGCTGCAAATGGGTTTTACTTAAAAGCGTCTGTAAATCGAGGAAAATTAGTTTTCCCTTTTCAGTAAATCCCAGTAACTGAGCAGATTTTGAAATACTCAGATCGGCCCATCTGGCACCAAAAACCAGGCCACGCTCAGAATTGCTTAAATCACCTTTCTTTCCCATTCTGACATTCAGTTTGGAGTTCAGGAGATTGTCTTGACCAGGACCACACCCCTAAATGCATTGAAGCAACTGCCATGTGATTGGTTGATTAGATAATTGCATTAATGAGAAATATTGTAATCACTTCAGGAGCCTAAATATAATGACTACTGTATATTTTAAGATATCAAAAATATCTTAAAAAAATATTAAGTGTGATATTAAAGATGTTGTTTCCAAAATTAATTTAATGGCTTTTATAATGTCACTGTACTGAGGCAAAAACAAATTGTAAAAAAAAACAAAACTAAAATGTCAATAATTTTTAATAAGTATAAAAAATATATCTTGAGATATGTATTTTCAATGAAATATATATAGATATAAATATAATATAAATATATATAGATATAAATATAATATAAATATATATATAAGTATATGTGGCTCTAAGATCTTTTTCATTTTTTTATATGCATTTAGAGATCCTTCCTTATATTGTGTGAGCTGATTGGTCGTGAACATGAGGAGGTGTAAGAATTGTGGAGGGACGGACATTGATGTGGACCAGGCACGGGGTGATGCCGTGTGCATGGGCTGCGGCACCGTGCTGGAGGACAACATCATCGTTTCCGAGGTAACCTTCGTGGAGAACAGTGGAGGAGGATCGTCCGCCGTAGGACAGTTTGTCGCTGGTGACTGTGAGTGATAGTTCATCTACAACACAGACAATTTCTTACTGAAATTGTTTAATTTTAATTTGTTAATGAGGGAATAATCTTTTTTTTTTTTTAGCTTATGAGGTTAATTGTGTGTCTTAGAGGATCTTTCAGATCTTAGAGGATCTGAAAGAAAAGATAGCTATATGATATTGTCCTCTATCTCACCATCCATTAGATTAGGTTTGTTATGAACCTTGACTGGAAACAGGTCCAGTTCTGAAACGTTAGCCTGTGAAATCTTTTTTTATATTATAATCTGCTTCCACCAACCAACTTCCACTTATACTTTCGGTATTTTCTAAGGAAATTCTAGTCATGAAGTTTTGTATAATTTCACTTTTCTGAATTATTTATTGTCCTTAAATCTTCCCAAATATTTGAAAAGTTTGTATTTGGCAACTTTTTTTTTTTTTTAAATGACACACTAAGATATTCCCCAGTCCAAATTCAAAAAACAAATTACACCAAAATCCATCATTGTTCATTTCACTCATGTATTTGATGATCAGTAGAATATGTTGTTGTCATTATTTATTCAAATAAATTCTTGATTAAGTAAAATGTGATCAGACTTAAAGTAGTAAAATCATGTGATAGGGGGCCCCGGCTGTCAATCAATATGTTAGTCATGCGGGCCTCTGATTGGTCCGGGCCGTAAGCAACCGCGTACCCTGCTTACCGATAGTTACACCTGTGATTGAGTCACTGGCTACTCTAACCTGCACTATGTCCTTAAAATGGGATGAGTTTTTTTTATTTATTTTCAACTGCATTACCATCTTTGAACACCAGATGGCTGCCAAGTGTTGTTTTTAAAATGAATGTTCTGCAATGATGGTAATGTGCAACAAACTTCCATATTCTCTAAAACAGGTCACTTCGCTTCCAGTTCAGGTCTTTTGTTTGTGCTTTGTTAAATATAGGGCCGTTTTAATAAAGATATCTTCAAAGGAGCGAGCAGAGATGAACACCATTGTCCATCTCAGATGCAGATTGATATCTAGAACTAACATTTGGATATTAAAATTGAATAAAACACTAACAATAAAAATAACTAGCTAGGTTAGTGGATTGCCTTAAAAGTGCTTAGATGTCTCCGTCAGGTCATACTGCTGTTAAAACTTTCTCCAATAAGCGGTTGCAATGAGACATGTTTTCCTGTTTGTTCCTGTGACATTCAACATAAAGCCTGTAAAAACAATTTATAGTGGAAGCTGACTTTCAACAGCTCTTGTAGTTTAAACATGGTAAGTTTGAAATTTGGACATACATGTTGTTATTTCCTTTCTTGTTCACTAAAAAATATTAATGGGAAGAGATTTATTAAAGGTGACGTAGGTAGAAATTTTCTAAAAAGACTTTTTCCCAAATATGTTTAACCTGTCTATGTATACCAATACATAATTAAAATGTAAGTACTCTGAAAAAGAAAGTATACAAATCGAGTGTCTGTAGTCCTCTCAGTGCTGCAATAAACACAGCTCATTATTTCATTCACTCCCACCCCCTCCCGTCTGGGATCCTTACAAAGCCACGCCCCCAAAACACATGAACTCAGTGCATGTAGTGACATCATGTCAGAATCACATGTAATAAAATGCCTAACTTTATCATTATTAATATAAACAACTAACATGGCTGGTAGTACTCACTATCAAGCTAGCATATCGACACTGGTAAGGGTAAAGTTTAAAATATATTGAGTTTGATTCGGTAACGAACTAGTAACATAAAAACTAAAAACAGGCTGCACTGTGATGAAGGTGAATTTCGTGTGAGATTCACAAAATATACGGTGTTTTACATGTAAGAGCTTCCAGGAAAGCACTGTTGGCTACACTTTTCAGCCCCTGGTGGTCAGTTGTCGCCATGGATGGAAAGCCCCGGCGATATTGACTCTCGTCTGACTTCTTGCTTTATCCAAAGACTTTTTGGTCATAGCCTTTTCAAATACTGTCTTCCTTTTTTGCCTGGTTTTCCTTCGCAGACTGGGTAAGCAGGTAACTGGGAGTTTTGGCTGCTCTTTCTCTGCCATAATTGTGATTCTTCCTAGCTTCCATGCCTCTTCCACTCCTCGAGTAAACAGTGCAAACGCAGCAGTGCTGGTAGCCATGGTAGCGAGCGAGAGTGACAGTCACCCAGCCAATCATTTCTTTCGTCCCGGTTGGAGATAATGAGCTGTGTTTATTGCAGCACTGAGAGGATTAAAGACACTCGATGAGTATACTTTCTTTTTCAGAGTACTTGTATTTTACATTTACATTCATTCATGAAGCTGACGCTTTTATCCAAAGCGACTTACATTGCTATATATGTGTCAGAGGTCGCACGCCTCTGGAGCTACTAGGGGTTAAGTGTCTTGCTATCCACTCAGCACCCCATATTTTAATTATGCACTGGTATACATAGACAGTTTGAACAAATTTGGGGAAAAGTTTTCTTAAATTTCTACCTACCCCAACTTTAAAACAAATAATAACAAACAAAACCAAAAGTATTGATCAAATAACTTATAGTGCTTAGTTATAAAAAGTATATTTTTCTGTTCTCATAATATTAGTATTAGTATTAATATATTTTATTTTTGATTTTTATAGCATCTGGAAATGCTCCATCATTGGGAGGAAACTTCCACACTGGTGTTGGGAGGGAGTCCAGAGCTGCCACTCTACAGAATGGTGAGCGTTCATAATATACAGCATTTTCCATTTATGAAGAATTCTTATGTCATAAGTTTTCATTATACACCATGACAGTCAAAAAGCAGACATAAAGCATAGACACTACTATGCAAAAGTTTGGGATCAGTAAGATTTTTCTTATACTTTTTGAAAGATTCCTATAAAGCCACATTTATTTAGTCAAATACAATTATATTGTAAATTATAATTACAAGTTTTCCATACTTTAAAATGCAATTTATTCCTGTGCTGAATTTCCAGTCTTCAGAGTCACATGATCCTTCAGAGTTCGTTCTAATATGCTGAGTTGGTGATCAAGAAATATTTCTTACAATTATCAATGTTGATAACAAACAGTTGTGCTGCTTAATGTTTTTGAGGAAATCGTGATAAAATCCCAAATGTATATTAATAGTATTGTATGTAACTTTTCTTTCTATAATGTGACTCAAGCTATCTATAAACCTTTCAAATGTAATTTCTCTTGGTGTGTGTTTTATTTAAATATTTTTTATCGCTTAATTCATTCATACAGAGAGCTATAGATGTTAATTTATTCCTTTATCATACAAATGTCAATTTTTTTTTGTTTGGCAAAAGTCCAGAGCTGCCAGGTATCATTGTGACGTCTATATTGTGCTTTTTTTAATTTAAGGGGTAAATTGTTTAGTTTAGTGTGCCAAAGCATTTCCTATGAATGTGAGACGGTACTATGTGTTATTGAAAAGTTACAACTTGTCCGATATTGTGCGTTACATATGTCCATATAATATTCCGTAAAGTTTCGTTGAACTACATGATTGAGCTAGATAGTGGTTAAGTGTGTGTGTTGTGTTTATAGGAAAGGGGGATTCTTTGGAAGCTGTGGGCTTGTGTAATGTGGTTTCAAGTTAAGCGTGTGAAGTTTGTTTCAGCCAGATGGTAATGGTTGTTTTTGAAAGAGGCTTATTAAGCCTGAGAAGTCAGAAGGTGTGGTGGGTTTATGTGCTTTTGTGTAGTAACCGATGAATCAGTTTGGTCAGACAACCGTATGGTCTGTGTGTGTGCTGGGAGGGAAATGAGGAGGCCACTTTATGTGTGAGGGAATGTACGCGTCTGATTAATGGCCTCATGTCTGCATTGAGATTTATACTATCTGTGTGTGGTGAGAGAACAAAAGTTGCTCTGTGGGATCTTGAATCTGTATAAACAGACCTGCTTTCAGCTTGAAGATGCTCTCCTCCCATTCTGAAGGGCCGAACAGCCCGTCCACAGCAGGTGCTCATATATAATGTAACTAGACTCTTACTTTGTAGTAACTTTATAGAAACTCATATAATTTCAATATGTTTTTTGATTATGGTAAAACTACCAGTTTTTTGTCTTAATGTTAATAATAGTTGAGGTTTTTGCATTACTAATATTTGACTGCACTGCATATTAATCTGGGATAGGAAAATGTTTTTAAAAACACACACTTCCCTGTATTAAATGCGTTAAAAAACAAACCCCCCTGTAAAAAAACCAAAAAAAACAAAACGTATCAAAATACAGATAGAAAAAAAGTCTGAAAAAACTCTTGAAGTCGGCATGAGACACTCGATGAGTATACTGATGAGTATAAATAATGAGTATAAATAAAAATCGTATCGATTTTTCAAATGCATGTTGGATCCTGTTGTAAACGATCCATCCGTGCATACGTTTCATTTTAAACTTTTTTTTTTTGGTCAGTTATCAGATTTTTCAATATGTATTTTTTCAGACCTGCTCCAAACTTTCCAGTTTTATTCTTATCTGAAGGTTTTTTTTTTCTTTTGAGGGACTAAACCTGTTGTGAATGTGCTTTGAATTAGTCTGACTGTTTTTTTTTTTTTTTTGTTTTTTAGCTAAGCGACAGATAAACCATCTTGGTCATCAGATACAAATGAACCAGCACTGTTTGGACACCGCCTTCAACTTTTACAAGATGGCACTCTGCAAGCATCTGACCAGAGGACGCAAATCATCACATGTTATCGCCGCCTGCCTCTACCTCGTCTGTCGGACAGAGGGAACACCTCGTATCCTTTTGGCCATGAGGTGATGAAAGCACTTAGAGTGAAAAATAAAGTGTCTGTTAGTTACTGAGGGTTATAAACCATGAAAGGTGATGTAGATGATAAAATATTCATAATATGTGATGCATCCGTGGTTGTCAATTAGTTTTAGCTTTGGGTTAAGGCCTGTTCACACCAAGAACGATAACTCTACCGATATCTATATTATTGTCCACACCAGCGGACAATGTATAAAATTTATAACAATGTAAAAATGTGAAAAATATCATACATTATAATCAGTGCATTTCATGCTGTGCAGAGGACAGACAGATGTCGGTCACAGAGCACCACAAAGAAACAGCAGCCATCTTCTGCAGTTCCTCCAAAACAATGAGCTTATGCTGAGTACACATACTACGCCGTAATTAAGAGATGGCAACTCGCGATGCTCTAACCGGAGCTGTTCACAACCTCAGACTCAAAATTATGTGTTTCCATTTCAACAGTATCAACACCGCAATGAATCTGCAGAAGTGAGTTACAAGGTCCCAAGTTGTTTACGTTCATTATTATTGTAGGCTAATGTACTTTGAGACATGAGGTAGTTTAACGCAGTCTCTTGTGACGCTTTGCCAAGAACAGGTGTGTGTATGTCTTTATGTTTTGGAGGCGTCGCTTTGGACGGCACGGCAATTTGGAGGGATTGTGGGATCGTATGCTTTCAATGCTAGCAGGCTAATGTTAGCATTTCCTAGAACACCTACTGCAACTTTATAGTATGTGTACTGTGCACTGCATACAAATACCCAGATGAGCTTGTATATTTGAAGAGTTCAGATGCAAAAGCCTCTAAATGCCATTTAAAAATTTTCTTCTTTAATGATGATTTTTATCAAACTTGTATATTTAAGTTCAGTAATTTCACTTAAATAACAATTAATAGGTAATTATCATTGCCATTTAAGTGAAATTACTGAACTTAAATATACAAGTTTGATAAAAATGATCATTTTAGAAGAAAATTTCAAATGGCATTTAGAGGCTTTTGCATCTGAACTCTTCATTTGTTAATTGCTTAGTTTACAACATAGCCCACTGCAAAAAACACTGTATCCCACAATGCAGAGCTGATCTCCCATTTCCAGTGTGGTGAATCAATTGGGGGTGATTACAGCTGCTATTTCTATTTCGACTAATTATTTGATGGAACTACAGAGTTGACACTTCTTTTTAATGGAAAACTGACTTTTTTTAATGATGATAATTGTACGCTATGTATCTGACTTGATTAGGGTCAAGTTATAACCGTGTAGCATACTACTGTTTGAAACGTTTATAATGATTAGTCTTTCATTTGAAGTATTAGGCTATATACTGTGTAGTATTTAGTAAGCAGTTTGCTAGTAATGCTCGGCATAGTTTTCACATTATAATCTTAATTGTTTTTTTTTATTAAATTACTTTATAGTTGTATACAGCTTTTAATTTCTGTAAGTGTGGATGCATGCTAGTTTGAGTATATACACTGTATAAATAGCTTGAAAAAGAGAGATGGTGACTCAGATTGCGTTCCATGGAGGGAAGACGAAGCGGTAGGTGCGGAAGAAGAGAGGTTGAGCAAGAGAGGCCCGCTGTGAGGGTAGATGGTCAAAGGTGTTAGTCAGTCGTCTTGATTTGGTCTCCACACGTACATCTGTCTGCATTCCTCAACACACACAAACACTCACAGCGTCTGATGCTTAGTCATATAGCCTCGGTTCTCCCTTGTGTGAACACTCATGATTATTTTTGTAATAATAATCCTACACTCACACTGAGTCAGGGTCTAACTCAGGTTGTTATCTTTAATTTGTATGTGCATAAAGAAATTTGTTTCCTGTTTAGCCTAACTAAGCTTCAGAAAAACCTCATCTGGTGTCCGAGACGGGATTTCGCTTCAAAGCGAGTTGGCTTTTTCAGGGTGTTTTTGTGTGTTAAAAGAGAAGCAGGAAATACGGCAGGGTGTGTCTCTCAGGAGACTGCATTAGGCCTCTATAAAAGTAAAAATAAATGTTTTTGTAAGTAGATTAAAAGTAGATTGGAACTGTTTAATGCCTAGCAGTTAGTGCACATCCTCCAGCATTTTCCCTAATGCGACCAAAGTTTAAATCTAGAAAGTGACAGTAGTTTTATCTGTTATCCCTCATTGATAAGGATACAATCCCTACCAATGATAAAAAGCAGCGAAAAGATCTAAATAAATGTTTTAAATGGATTTGTTTTACTTTTTAATTCAAGGTGGGTATTTATGTGTTGTCTTTTTAATGGTAATTGACTCAATGTCCCCCAGTGTGAGGTGTAGTAGATAATAATCACAGATGGATAGATGAATGTTTAAATGCACCAGCTGTTATTTTCAGTTATATTATAACTGTTATTTTCAGCTTTTATAACTTTAATGCCCTATATGTGAAAATGCTCGAGTATTAGGTGATTATTTTTCAGCTTTCTTCTGCCTTTTAACTGTCTGAAAAAGCCAAAACATTGTCACATTTGTGTGTATTTGGATTTTCATGGACAATGGTACTCGCTTTCACTTTTTGTGCAATTAACAATTAAATGGAGGCAGCAGAATCTTTCCGTTTCTCTGAGATTATGCAACATATGTGTTCAGTCAGACGTCTGTTTGGGTTATATAAGAACTCATGAGAGAGTTTTCTTTTTCTGTCTAGGAGGGGTGTGTGTGAGACAGAGAGAGAGAGAGAGAAAGAGTGCGGCATTGTTGGTCAGATAGTGAGGCATTGTTGGTCTCAAGCTCTACTGTACAGGGTAAATTTAGCCACACATTATTTTTCAAACATCAGCCTTTGAAATGGCTCTAATCTTTCTGAGTTTTTTTTTTTTTTATATGTGGATACTTAAAACACTGATCTCCATCAAGTAATTATGGAAAACATTAATGCCCTTAAGCTAATTTTGCAATATGAAGGCTTTCTCCCTTGGAAAGGTCAAATCCTGATCCATCCTAAAAATGATCATTAATTTAACAGGGTCATCCATAATCCCACAATTTAGGATTATCTCTCACTGTTACCGTGGCAACTGAAAATCCCACAATGACTTTTTAATGGGATGTTTTAATACACTTTGTCTTGATTAGACAGGTGTGCTGGTCTCCATGGATACAGAGTACACGGTTGCCAGGAGACGGGGATTTCCAGAGTTCAGGAGGTGGTGGTTCAGTGGAGCTCTACTCAAAGAGGGAAAATGTCAAGCAAATCTGACCAATATCCCTCCCTGTTTCTTGTCGGTCTCTGTCTTCACCAAGTGTCCCTGTGTGTGTGTGTATAATACAAATATATATACAATTGGCATGAAATGGAAGTTGGTTCTCAATTGATTTTGGTTCACAAAATCGGGAAATGATTGGATCATTGCTGGATTGTTGTCGTTTGCTGTGATCTCAGACAGATTTCTGTAAGTGAGGGATTATTTTGTCACTCTCGCACCGCTAAAAAACGTCATAAGGAAACAGATGTCGATGCAAGAATGAGGGGAAATTATTTATTCCATAAAAAATAGGAGTTGTTGGTTTGATTTAATTGCTACTTTAAGCCATTATTGCATAATATATTAGGTCCTTACAGACTAAATAGTTCATTTGTAAATAATCCAGTTCCTGAAAGTGATTGAGAATGTAAGGTCATCAGTTCGATAGCCAGAAAATGCATGCATTAAAAAAAATTAACATCTTGAATCTGTTGCAAGTAGCTTCAGATAAAATTGTCTGTCAAATACATATGCAAATCCAATTGTGTATGATCACTTTAACGCACTTTCTCAGACATGCTGCTTGACTTGAGTGACATCCTACAGGTCAGTTACTAACACCTAAACATGTAAATGCAATCTATCCATCTGATGTAGATTAAGGCCTGTTTTTAGGTCAAATAAGCAAGTTTGAGACCTTATTCCTTTGAAAGTGGGACAAAAAAATTCTTGTACATTTTTCACTTACAGATTTTCACTATTTTTATTTCTTATGCTGATATAATTTTGAAAGAACAGTTTATTAAATTAGAACACAAGTATGCAGTTTCACTATCAATCCAAGGCATTTGAACCCAGTTATTTATTACTTCGTTGTCCATGTATTACTGTGTGAAAGCCATTTTCTTCCAGCTGGTGTGGCCGTTTTATATTTTTACCCTCCCAGCTGTCCTATTAAACTCCCTCCCTGCCCTATACGCTAACAGCAGACCCTGTCCACTGCGGTATTTGAGTCATTAGGGGATTTTACCAGAGAAAGGACCCATAAATTCCTTTGCTCTCTCCCAGACAGAGGAGCTCTTTTGAGGCATAAGGCTGTTGCCGCCCCTTTCAGGTCAGGAGTGTGTGAGGGCCTTCCTACTTTTCAGTGGTCGTGACCCCTGACATCAACCAAAAAAGATTCCTTTTTGATGCTGTGGGGCCCAGATGGAAGAAATAGGGTGTCTGTGTTTGTGCATGTGAATCATTCTTTATGGATATCTTTTCTTTTTTTTTAATCATTATAAAGGTGGTCCAAGAAGATAAGTGTTGAGTTATATGATGTTTAAAGCTTGTTTTATGAAATATTCTGTTATTGTAGTTCATCCTCAATGATAAGACACCGATATAAAGTTTGTGAGAAAGTAAAGACTGTGGTGATGCTGGTACGCATCCAAACCCCAGAGCTATGAACTCTGCAACCTTCAGCATCTGTTTAAATACACAGCGCGTTATTACTGTCATCTTGTCCCTTTATTCATCCTCCTCACTCTATCTTATCTCGTTCTCTTATTCTCGGTTATATATTCCCATTGTCTGTTTCTCTTTGTGCTCAACCACAAATTTGTGTCTCACTCTTTCTTTCTTGCCCTAGGTGAACGTGTATGTTTTGGGAAAAACCTTCCTCGTTTTAGCCAGGGAGCTGTGCATCAACGCACCAGCTATTGGTAAGCATCAGATATCACAAACAAGCGATTTTGCCCTTTCCCATGATGCTTTTCGGTTCACACAAATTAAACTGGTACTGTACTGTGTGAGTATGTGAATGGGTCAGTGTAGTGCGGATGTTAATACCAAGGGGGTGCTGTGAAACTGCAAATGTAAAACTTGAATTGAACACTGGATTGATTTGTGCAATGTTTGGTCGCCTGTTGCTTTAAAGCAACAATACATTGGAAACATTTGTTATCTTTTCCTCCCTCTTATGTCATTCCAAGCCTGTATGACTTACTTTTGTCTCTGGAACTAAAAGGAAGATATTTGGAAATGTGTCTGTTTTCTATGGCCCAAATAATTTTGCTTTGGAACACATTGACTTTTCATTATATGGGGGAAAAAATAACAGATGAAATAACCTCTTTAAAGGGATACTCCACTTTTTTTGGAAATTGGCTCATTTTACAACTCCCCTAGAGTTAAACAGTTGAGTTTTACCATTTTTGAATCCATTCAGCCGATTTTATGATATTTAGAAGAATATCAGTAACCAGACAGTTTCTGGTCTCATTGACTTCCATAGTAGGAAAAAAATATACTATGGAAGTCAATGAGACCAGAAACTGTCTGGTTACTGATATTATTCTAAATATCAGAAAATCGTCTGAATACATTCGAAAACGGTAAAACCCAACTGTTTAACTCTGGGGGAGTGGTAAAATTTCCAAAAAAAGTGGAGTATCCATTTAAGGGTATATTTTACCCTGATTTAAACAGTAAATAAGAGTATTATCATACACTAGACCAAAGAAAAAGAAAAACTGTTTGATGAATAGAAAACAATGTTTTATAATTTTTCAGATCACTCAGCATCAAGCTGTCAACAAATAACAATTAAACAACAAGACAGAGGAATAGCTGTCTAGTTTCAAGTGCAAACTGCCCCATTGTATATAGGCGGATTATAGATAGTTAGAAAGAAAATAGGCTTAAATTAAAGTTTAAAAAAACCCCCAATATGTTTAAAGAAATAAATAAGTATGGGCAGCATTCCGATATTTGTGAGACATAAAATCAGATCAGAGGACATTGTTTCTCTTCTAGTAGTGTCTCGTAGCTAATGTGAATGAAGGCAATTATTTGAGAGGAAAAATCCCCCTGCTGTTCATTAATGGGTCAGTCCGAGTACTCATGCATAAAATATCAGTTCGGGAATCTGTCCTCCCTGAACCCCTGTCCCATTAGTACTGTCAGAGGAACACTGAAACTGGAAGGTGACTTTTCCACACTGGACTTCTGTCATTCCCTCCTGTCCAAAATAACTTAGCTCGGTCCCATCAAGAACAGCACTAACTGTGTAGAAAGCATCCTGCTCCACCTGTACCGGGTGCTCGAACCACACAGGGAACGTTGAGCTGGAACCATCCGACACAAATTTGGTCAGGTTTTGTGCCAAAAGCACTCCCTGTCTCTTTAGTTCAATTCGGACGCTATATTCCGCCTTCCCCCCACTGGAGCCGTACAGACCAAGTCCGGCGATAAACACTCGCTTGTCCACGGCGAACTGGATGCTGTCACAGCGCCCGCGGTAGCGCCACTGGTTGCTTCGGTAGGCGGATGACTGGAACCGGTGACAGCGTTGCGCCGCCAGCCCCTTCCTGGATGCATCCGGGAATCCTAGCGAAGGTTTCGTAGCAGCCGTGTACCAGAGAAAGATGCTGTGCGTTTCCTCAAGGGTTAAAATGTTCGACTGTGCGGCTCCATCCGCAAATTCCTGCAGTGTCATGGAAGGCAGGCGCACGAGGTACAACGCCTTTCCCAGCACGGAGCGCTGGTTCTGTGACGTAAGGCTTAAGTCTTGTCTTCGGCACTCTGCATTGGCCCATCCCAGGACAGCCTGGAACACCACCGCCTCCTTCACGTTCAGCGTTTCCCTGAGTAAGATGCTCTCCAGTGTGGGCAGGTCAATTTCAGAGAAACCTTCGGAGCGCAGCGCAAGCTCTGCCTGGGCGTCGATCACTTCCCAGCACCTCTGAGTGAGCTCCGGCTCCTCAAACAGCCGACTCTGAGATAGCAGAACGCACGCGTTTCGTGCCTCCAGGCTCGTCTCGAGGAAACCCACACATGCGCGAGCCAGAGCAGACACCAGGTATTTTTTGGCAGCGTAGAGAGTAGCCAGAACTGTGTCGGGCGACAGCTCTATCTCATCACTGTACATGTATCTGATAAAGAAGAGGAAGATAGAGAGGTTAGGGTAAACTTAAAGTCCACATTAAACTGAAGTTGCAATCGTCTATTGTGACGTATATCCGAGTGAAATGGCTTCTCGAATGAGAAAGAAATGTAGGACTTGATTGAATCGTTATCGTTTGCTTTTGCTATGATCTCTTCTGAGTGACGGTTTGTTCTGCTCTTGTGCCAGGGGGTGGAAGTTATTTTGATCGAAGATTATGGGGGCACTTTCATTAAAAAAATATAAGAATGTGCTCATATAAATCATTTTTAATAAACACTGCAATCACTGCAATTATAAATTGTCCATTTTAAGTGCAAAGATCCATATGAAGAGAATAAAACAACTAGTTCATACTTCACCAAAACTGATCTGATCTGAACTGAACATTGCTACTGCTTTTTAAATAGTGACTTCCAACTTTCTCGGGATCATTCACAATCCAATAACCGATCTTGAAAAGCACTAAAATAAGAGGGCGACTCTTAAACCAAGACATCACTGTGGGTGCCTTGGTGAACCCATCTGTGCTGCTTGGCATGAAAGCCGAGTTACCCTGCTATTAATGCCCGGATGTGATTAGTGAGTTGGTCTTACTTGAGCAGGATGAGAAACGCAGCGGGTTCCACATCTGGAATATGGATATCAGAGTCCGCTTCCGCGAGATCCCCGTAAAACATGGCACAGAAAACAGAGCTCCCCACCGCCAGCACATACTGAGAAAGGGAGAAGAGGCAATCCATCAGTGTTTTATCCTTTTTCCCAAGCATTTACTGGATGTCTCCCTTATCTGACACCTATTTCAGGTCCACTGATAAGCTGCTGGGTCGAATCAGGTTTGTTCGATTTGGGAGACATCCAAAATAACGTTGTGGTTATTGTAGGGGACAGGTTAGGGGAGAGAGGTGTGTACTCACCTTGTGTGCCGGGACCCTTTCCGATTCGCCGGGTGGACCGACAATGAAATGAACATCTGCCATTTGTTCATTATTGAACATTAGTGCATTTCTGCATAAAGTAAAACATTGTGTATTAATAAAATATATTTAAATATTTTATTTGAAAGAAAATATTATAATATCTAAACATTGATTAAATTATAAGGAGTATCTTTTAACGTTCTTTATTACTTCCCTTAATTATATTATCTTATACTAAACTAAATGAATAATAATATAAATGAATATTTTATCACTATATTTGTATCTTTTTTTTAAAATAACTTTCTTTAAAACTATACAAATAATTGTTCAGATATTATGCATCACTAGATTTAATGTCTTGCCTCTCTCGTAACGTCGGGTGCGCGGAGTGCCAGCTGGGAACCTCCACGTTGTTGTTGTTGATGTTTTGCTCTGTGGTCGGTGTGGTGGCGGTGCACGCGGTGGTTTGCGCGACCGGCTCTGCGCTCTTCTTCTCGGGCAGACTCAGCATCACGGTTCCGTTCTTCTGCACCGTGGCTTGATCGTTCACGGGGTACAATTCCGCTGCCATCCTTTTCTTCAGGGAAAGAGATAAGATGTTATAGCACACAGACAACCTGCCGGGGTGCTTGTTTGTCCGCTTCAACTTCTTTAACGTTTCGGGGAGCAAGAGTATAAAAGTCACGCATTTCATGATCCGGCCATGATGGGACAACCTGCATTCCGGCGCAGCGGGCATCAGAACAAAAAAATAAATAAAAGTTTTTGTTTTGTTTATAGCTATGAATATATCAGCTACAATCTTGGTTCGTGGTATTCCTAAATAATATTGCGTATTGTCCTTGAAAACAAAAGCAGCTCCACTGTCCTCAACCGGTCACATAAATATTTGGGATTTTAAGGATTACGTTATTTCATGCCATTCTCTTTTCCCTAATCACGTACTCTCCTACTCCACATCGAAAATCCAATCCAAATCGGTTTAGGAATAACACAAGAAAGATCTATATATAAAAAGTCTGTAGTCTTAAATAGCGGGAAAGCGGACCTTTCCTCTGCTGTGTCCACACAGAATGATGAAGTTTGAGTTTATTTTGAGCTCTCTCTCTCTCTCGTTTGACGTCAGCAGCGGAGGGTTGTCTCCATCCCTCCTGTAATGTGTTGCCATGTGCGGCTTTTATAAACAACTCTGGGATAAATCTGGGATTTTTACACATGGTTATTCATGTTTTTTTTGGGGGGATTATTCGCAGTATATATGTGTGTGTTTTTGAAAATATACATGTATATGTGAAATAGTGAATTCTATAAAAGTTTATTTACATTTATTGAAAATACTCGTCCAAAATAATTTGCTTGCTTTTCTTGTGAGGTCTGGCAACCCTGCGTAAATGGCTCTCTGTGGACTGTACAGTGTTGATTTTTAATTCGTCATATGTAACCTATATAACTTTACAAGCTTACCTTCTCCTTTAATTATCCGCGTCAAGTAAAATATTTTTGTGTTTTTGCGCATCAAATTCGAAGTTCATCAGTACGCGTCGTTTATTTCGTTCTTCAATATTTTTTTACACTCACGATGCAACTTAGTTCTATATACATTATTTAAAAGCAATGTAACGTTATCAGTATTCAAATATTGAGCGATACATTTAAACTCGAGCCCTGCAGATTCTGTTACACACTAGATTCGCGTCCTGTTTTGTAAAGATAACGTTTACATCACGCTTAACTGTTATACTTGTGCAACCAGTGAAACATCCTCAAAATGTTCTTACCTCAAATTTTGTATTTTATGCGTTGGTTTGTTTTCATCATACAGCTGAGGTAATACTCGACTCAAAGCGATGTCAAAAGTTTTACGTTACTGCTCCTGTCGCGAATCGCGATGGAGTCAGAAACAGGACGAGGGCTGGACTTGTGAAAATACTGTGGTGCGGACGAGTCACGACTGCTACCGGTATTCCCAATAAAGTCCTCACGCAGAATTAGGCTTCTCTCTCTCCCCTGGTCTCTTCTTTACCCCCCACAGGCAGATCTAAGCGGCTTATTTGAACATATGTAGTGGGGATTAGATCAGAGTGTCCCAATCTTTCTTGATTTATGTATCCCCAGTTCCATCAGTAAGGCCAAGTACCCTTACTGAATATGTACGTGTTTGTGAATGTGTATACTGTATATACTGTATATACACACACACATCATTGTATTAGTTTTTTTGTGTTTTTTTTATTTATTTAGTATGTTTACCTAATTACATTTAAGAGTATAAGAACCATTGGGGGAAAAAACATTTTTGAAATATTATATTTTGTTCATAGGGTTTATTCATATATATATACACTCACCGGCCACTTTATTAGGTACACCTGTCCAACTGCGCGTTAACACTTAATTTCTAAGCAGCCAATCACATGGCGGCAACTCAGTGCATTTAGGCATGTAGACATGGTCAAGACAATCTCCTGCAGTTCAAACCGAGCATCAGTATGGGGAAGAAAGGTGATTTGAGTGACTTTGAACGTGGCATGATTGTTGGTGCCAGAAGGGCTGGTCTGAGTATTTCAGAAACTGCTAATCTACTGGGATTTTCACACACAACCATCTCTAGGGTTTACAGAGAATGGTCCGAAAAAGAAAAAACATCCAGTGAGCGGCAGTTCTGTGGGCGGAAATGCCTTGTTGATGCCAGAGGTCAGAGGAGAATGGCCAGACTGGTTCGAGCTGATAGAAGGGCAACAGTGACTCAAATAACCACCCGTTACAACCAAGGTGGGCAGAAGAGCATCTCTGAACGCACAGTACGTCGAACTTTGAGGCAGATGGGCTACAGCTGCAGAAGACCACACCGGGTGCCACTCCTTTCAGCTAAGAACAGGAAACTGAGGCTACAATTTGCACAAGCTCATCGAAATTGGACAATAGAAGATTGGAAAAACGTTGCCTGGTCTGATGAGTCTCGATTTCTGCTGCGACATTCGGATGGTAGGGTCAGAATTTGGCGTCTACAACATGAAAGCCTGGATCCATCCTGCCTTGTATCAACGGTTCAGGCTGGTGGTGGTGGTGTCATGGTGTGGGGAATATTTTCTTGGCACTCTTTGGGCCCCTTGGTACCAATTGAGCATCGTTGCAACGCCACAGCCTACCTGAGTATTGTTGCTGACCATGTCCATCCCTTTATGACCACAATGTACCCAACTTCTGATGGCTACTTTTAGCAGGATAATGCGCCATGTCATAAAGCTGGAATCATCTCAGACTGGTTTCTTGAACATGACAATGAGTTCGCTGTACTCAAATGGCCTCCACAGTCACCAGATCTCAATCCAATAGAGCATCTTTGGGATGTGGTGGAACGGGAGATTCGCATCATGGATGTGCAGCCGACAAATCTGCGGCAACTGTGTGATGCCATCATGTCAATATGGACCAAACTCCCTGAGGAATGCTTCCAGCACCTTGTTGAATCTATGCCACGGAGAATTGAGGCAGTTCTGAAGGCAAAAGGGGGTCCAACCCATTACTAGCATGGGGTACCTAATAAAGTGGCCGGTGAGTGTAGGTTCCTCCTCTGTATGGATAGAAAATTGTTATTTGAAAACAGGACATGTCCTGGGAAAACAGGACAGTTGATCACTCTAATATATATATATATATATATATATATATATATATTTATATGTACAGTATATGTGTGTATGTATGTATATATTTAGTATGTTTGCACACACACACACACGATTTCAAACTAGAGCCGTTAGTATTGTTGGTGAAAATAGACCCAAATATGTAGTGGCCCCTCAAACTGAAAAAATCTATTGAACATGTTATTTAAAAACTGATATTGATTTCATTGACTGAAGTGTTTGACAAGTGTTTGAAAAATCCCTCGAGTTGTAATTTTTTCTCCTGTTAAATCAATTTTGATGGTGTGAGAAACATCTTGTTGTTGGCTAAAGCTTAATGATGGACATTCTCTGTATGAATTGTATAGTATTGGAGGATAGTATAAATATGATATTTGTTGTATTGTCAAACTTGTGAAATTCAAGTTTATTAAAAGCCTTTGAACTGAACACTCATCAGTGGTTATGAGCCCCAGTATTAGCACTTTAAGATTGTGTAAGTAAGGCAAAGGTGTAATATTGTGTCCAATAAAGGATATCTCGCACAAACCCCCATATGCCACTCATTTGCAGCTTTAAACGTTAGATTTGACACAGACCGTTATTGAACTGAGAATCCAACACTGTTTGAGAAAGTCTGGATATACCTGTCTATCTTTCTAATTCAGATTTTTTTTCCATACAGATCCGTGTCTTTATATCCCTCGTTTTGCGCAAATGTTGGAATTTGGAGAGAAGAGCCACGAGGTTTCGATGACGGCACTGCGTCTCCTGCAGAGGATGAAGAGAGACTGGATGCACACGGGACGAAGACCTTCAGGCCTCTGCGGAGCAGGTAACCATGGCAACCCTCCCCTAACGGTGCGACCTCTTTAATGATGTGAGCTAGTGAAGGGTTGCTTTGTTAGATGCGCAAAAACGCAGGCACCATCCTTGAAACATCCATCCACAGTTGGAATGCACGCTCTAGAAACCCCTTCCAGAACTGAAAGTTTTATATCTGTCGTAGGAAGTATTTTAAGATAGTTAGATCTGTCAAATTCTGTAATTAGATCAGGTCGCGCATTTGAAGTGGTTCCCAAATCACCAATCGGTTTAAATTACTCTCACTGATATTTTTTGCCACTGTAAATTGTCTCAGTGATGCAGTGCAGCTAAATTCTGATGCATGTTCGTCAATGTCATTTTTATTTTCGTGCACTTTCAGTCTTGTGTAAGCTTTACACAGGCTGTGAAGTTTTCAGTAATTAAGTTTTTAGAATAACTGATGACTCCTGCCTCTCAGCATGATTTTCTCTGCCCCCCACCCCTTCGCTGCATAACCTGAATAATGAATCTCCCATTAATCTTTCAGGAGCATTGCTGAGAAAAGAGGAAGCATGAGCCTAAAGAGTTTGTTTCGCTGCGAGAGATCAGAGACTTGAGAAAGAAAGGCAGACTGACAGAGAGACTGAAAGAATGTGAAAAAGTCCCAGAATGAAGATAAACTGAGTGGCAGAGAGGACTGCTGAGTGTGATGAATGCCTCAAGCTTGTTGAATAGTCCTCATCTAGTAGCTGAAACACAGATTGATTTGATATCCTGCAGGGTTAAACAGCAGAATAGGAAATTGCTGTTTTTTTAAACGCAACATGAACCTGAACTCAAGATAGCGGTCAGTTAGATAAAGCTGACATGCAGTGGAGAGTGGGGTACAATGTGTTGTCCCTTTAATCTGTCACAACCTAGACAATGTGTTTAGAAAGGACTCATCAGATACATCTGTCTGTGATTGAGAGATGCTTATGAGAAAATTGAAAAGCATTATGTTCTTGTTGTTTACATGACAAAGTACATTTGTAGAATGGCAGGATATCTATCTATCTATCTATATAGATAGATAGATACAGTTAAAACATTGATAGTATGTAATAATATTACTATATGTTTTCTATTTTAACATATTTTAAAATTTAATTTATCCTGTGGTAAGCAGGGCGGGACCGAGAGCCGTGGGAATGGAGCGAGGCCAGTTGTGTGAGTGCTAATAAGCGCTAATATCACTTGCGCGCCACACCGGTTTTGTGTCTCCCGGAGGATCTCCAGAAAGGAGGAGTGACAACTGTGCAAGACGAGAGAGGATCAGGCCTAGCTCCGTACCCACGGCTCTCGGCCCCGCACTGCTTGCCACATATTCCTTCAGAAAACGATCTAATATGTTGATTTGCTACTCAGTTGACATTTCTTATTATTATCAATGTTGAAAACCGTTGTGCTGCTTAATATTTTGTGGAAACCTTGATAAAGTCCAAAAAAACTGCATTTATTTGAAATATAAATCTTTTATAACATCTTCAATGTCTTAACCTTCACTTTTGATCAATTGAATGTGTCCTTGCTGAATGAAAATGATTAATTTCTTTAAAAAACATACTACAAATATGTCTTTGTAATGAGATTATGAATCAGTGAATTAGGGCATAATGAGAATAATATTTGTATTTGAAATGTAAATTCAGTCATTTTGATGGCACTAACATTGTAGTTAGCGTGCCGACATATAGCGAAACTGCGACCTGAGTTCGATTCCCAGCTCGAGGTCCTTCGCCTATTCCATTGCCCTCTCTCTACCCCACGCTTTCCTGTCAAAATCTCTACGGTCATATCAAAAAAGGCCAAAAACTTTGTCATTTTGTTTCTTTAAGCAGTACAATAATTTTTTAGAGAATGGCAGTGAACCATGATGTCGTTTTTATATGAGTTAATCTTGTAGGGATCTTTTAGCTCTAAAATTCTTCAGTACTGTATCTTTTACATGGTTTCATGCTTTCTGGTGTTGGACATTCTTTAGTTTGTCAGGTAGTTCAGAAGTGCATCTGGCTCTTCATGTTTCTTTAATGAATCAGAGTGAAACAGGCATCAGGGGTTCTGCAGAATTGCAGGTGCATTAAATGTCTGTTTGTTCTGCCTGAGGTGAATCAGTAGGGGGGCAGGTACAGTGGACACACTTTTCTGAAGGCCTATTAATGTTTCATATTTGACTATCTGTCCTCTCTCCTTCTCTCTCTCTCTCGAAGTGAAAGTGTGTATGATCTACTGAAAGTTGTGTATTTGTGTTCCCTATAGCGCTCTTGGTTGCTGCCCGTATGCATGAGTTCCGTCGCACAATTAAGGAAGTGATCAGCGTGGTGAAAGTCTGTGAGGCCACACTGAGGAAAAGGTGTGTTTTGACCTAAAATAATCACAGTGTGACCACAAGCTGTGCTCATTTATTACTATTCGCAATATGTCGCAGTAGCATTCATATTATATAATTGGCGCTATTCCTGGATTTAGTTTTTGTAGTTTCTTTCTGAGGCTTTGAATTTAGGCCCGGTTTTGCTATTTTATGTTTTGACCCCCAGTGTGTTTGATTGAAAGGCTAAATGAATTTGAGGACACGCCCACTAGTGAGCTGACTATTGAGGAGTTTATGAAGGTGGATCTGGAGCAGGAGTGCGACCCGCCCTCTTACACGGCTGGAATTAAGAAGCAAAAGCTAAAACAGGTCACGAATCACACTTTTATTTAGGATTATGAACATTTAAAATCAGCCATTCTGTCAATATGTGCTTTCACACAGTCAGACCAATTATTTCCTCTGATGAATTCTTCCACAGATTGAGCTGGAACTTTCAAAAAAAGTTGATGATATTGAAGGTACCTTCAAACATTTACTGTAGACAGAGTTTATGCTCAAAGTTTCATCATGGGTGTTTTAACACACATGTGTATGTGCTCTGCAGGTGAAATCTGTGGCTATCAGGATGAGATTGAAGTCGAGCTGGAGAGCTGCAGGCCCAAAGCCAGGGGATTTTATGCATCCTGTTCCAGAGAAGGTATAGTATTCACACACAATCCCACAGAAAGATTTTTTTTTTTCCAAGTTCACACACTACCATTCCAAAGTTTGTGTCAGTAAGATTTTTTTATGTTTTTGAAAGAAGTCTCTTATGTTCACCATCACCAAGTCTCAGTGATTTCATGAAAAAATCCATAAAACCGGTGTAAATAAATGTTGTTTATTCCTGTGATGGCAAAGTTGAATTTTCAGCAGCCATTACTCTTCAGTCTTGTTTTGTGCTTCTTCAGAAATTATTCTAATATGCTGATATGCTCAAGAAACGTTGCTTATCACAGATGAAAATGCTCGTGCTGCTTAATATTTTTGTGGAATATTTGATTCATTTTTTTCTGGAATATTTAAAGAATAGAAAGTTCAAAAGGTCAGCATTCATCTAAAATAGTAATATTTGAAAACAATTTAAATGATTTAACTCAACTTCATGCTTTCATGCTGACTAAAAATTAGGGCTGTGCAAAAATTAATTGCGATTAATCGCATCCAAAATAAAAATATGTGTTTACATAATATATTTGTGTGTGCTGTATATAATTATGTTGTATATATAAATACACACACATGCATGTATATATTTAAGAAAATGTGTTATTCATATATAAAATATTTATATTTATATAATAAAGATTATGTATTTATAAATATATACAGAATTTAAGTGCAAATAATTTTTAAATATATACATGCATAGGTATTTATATATACAAAATAATTATATATAGCACACACAAATATATTATGTAAACACAGACTTTTATTTTGGATGCGATTAATCACAATTAACTTTTGCACAGCCCTAATAAAAATATACTTTTATTTTTGGTTTAAACAATTGTACTGACCCCAAACTTTTGAATGGTAATGTATATCATGTGAGGGTAACATTTTTAACCAATACAATACACACTCACACACACACATACAGGTATATCAACCTTTTTATATCATTATTAATATATCATTTATTTCTTCAATATCATATCAAAATCATTTGTTTATATTTAAAACATTTAAAAAAAAAATTTGAAAATTAAGTATCCAGTATTTCAAAATGACAACCATTTTATAATGCAGAAATATAGCTTAATGTGTGATAGACTTGGCTCGCAAGTGTATTCTAGGCCAGCTTATTGTGCATCAACAGGTTTTGAGACTCGCATGCTTTGCTTTACTTAAAGATTGTCTATGGTGCATTGTCTCCGATGGGAGCGCATATTTATAAAACCGTAAGAATTTGTTTACAACGAGTGATGATTGGCTGTTGTGTGGAAAGCACTTTTGTAGGGATGGTTTGCTTCATGAGAACCACAATTATTGGTGAATGACGCTTAAAACAAATGATTATACTGTTGTCACAATTTCTCTTTGTTTAGTGAGAACTGCTACTCTCACAACATTTTCTTTCTCGGAAGTGGAGTGTTACTTCCCCTGTGCAAAAATTGGGTTTACTTTTCTGTCCAATTAGTTCGTTGTTCAGCAGCACTCACATCCAGAGATCCAGTACTTCCCCATGCGTGATATATCTCTCTCTAATGTAGTGATTACAGCAGGGAGCTAATTAAGACTGCGAGCGTGGGTGTGTTTGTGTGTGTGCCTTTTCATGCATGTGTGTGTTCACTTTTCTATGGTGTGTGTGTGCATCCACGTTGTGTTGCTGCGGTCAGCTGTGTTAGTTTATATAATTACTTTCTTTCCATGTCAGCTGGATCATAGCAAATCAAAATCAAAGGGTGAATGCATTCATGTTTTAATTAGCTAAATAATTTAATTACAAAAATAATTGTACTTTATTTGCATACATACAGCAGTTTCCTTTCATCTTTATAATCTGTTTACCTTTTATTTGTTGCTCCTGTAGTTATTGCTGCATGATGCATGTGTATTTTCTCTCTTGGTTTTCCCAGATGATGTGATTTCCCTGGCATCATCTGGTGTCCTTGCTGGTGATGATGAAGGAGAGGACGACGAGCTGAGGGCAGCAGCGTCTCACCTGTGCAGTGCTGTATGTGGAGAGGATGGAGGTGGCTATCAGCAGGAGCGAGATGGAGAGAAAGTCTCTCCAACCAAACGGCCCTCGTTAGCATTATTGCTTGGTGCTTTGCCCACTGCGGCCAGTTTGGGCCTGCCCGAGTCCATCACCAAAATGGGAGAGGAGAAGGAGAACGGTAGGAGAGTTGCATAAACACTTAATCTATTTTAATTCCACAGTCATTCTTTGTTACCACAGTTTCGCTGTAATAAGATTGACAGGGTACAAGCAGAGGAAGAGGAGTGGCACTAGATTGACAACTTTATGAAACATTAACATTCTTTTCATTCATTTTCATTACACATTTGAGCTTCATCCGTTTTTTTTTAGTTTAAGAAGTGTGCAACTATAGTGACTGCTTTTTTTAAAATGTATTCCCCCAGTTTCACATATAAGGCTTTAGCGTAGTCCCAAATTAAAACGCATATTTGAGCCGTTTTATTTAAAAGCAAAAAATTGTACCTGTAGTGTTTTTTTTTTTCTAAGGCATGTTAATAAAAGCTGTTTAAATGCCCTAATTAAACTAAGGCCTAAACTTGGCTTAATCTAAGAAGCACTTTAGGACAGGTCAGTGAAACCGGAAGTGTTTCTTTCATTTAATCTGATTTCGTTTCACACAACTGGAGTGACTCCTTTTCAGAACACTCAAATCAAACACTCATATTAATCCACTTTCATTGAATCTACTTGCATTTCACATTCGTGTTAAAGGGATAGTTCACTTTAAAATGAATTTTTGATATGTTTTAGCTTACCTCAAGGGCATCCAAGATGTAGGTATCTTTGTTTCAACAGTATTTTCAATTTTGATATTTTTAGGTCAAACCTTGCTTGTCTGTCAGTCATATAATGGAGGTATATGGGGTCCTCCTCAAAGAGCATTTAAATTTTTCAATTTGTGATCACTTCCGGGGCTTTCCGGCGCTTGCGCAGAAAGAAGCGTCCTCAGAGTATTTGGACGTGGCTGTGGTTACAAGAGGTAAAAACGATATAAATACTGTTCGTTTTCTCACACAAACCGCGTGTTTCGTGTCTTAGGCCATCAATGTGTACTTGCGAGTCATTAAATCATGTTTAATTTGGACTTCTCTGTGCATGCTCTTTGAGGTGGACCCCTTAGACCTCCATTATATGACTGACAGACAAGAACGGTTTGACCTAAAAATATCAAAATTGAAAATACCGTGGAAACAAAGACACCTACATCTTACATTTACATTCTTACTTTGATTTTCTTTTCTATAAAATAATTAATTTTCTTTTATTTTATCCCTCTTCCACACTATAGTGAGAGATACCCAGCCTCTGGAGAGCAGAACTCAAGAGTGACTTGTTTATCTGAAATGATTGCGTTATCTTTTACGGTTGTTGCGTTTGCATTATGCGAGAGTATTCGAGAGAGAGAATAAGACTTTGTTCATCACAGGCAGAAGAGCTGCAGCTGGTAAACTCCTGAGGATAGAGTGCTGGCAGGTTGTCAGATTGTGTGATTGGCTATGCGAGCAGGTTGTCATGTTTTCGATTGGTTGTGCTGATTGTGGATGATTTGTATGGGGCGGAGGAAGAGGAAGCCCCCCTCCACTCTTTGAAGCACTAATTGAACACAGCACCTTGTCATTAGCGCACTGTCTTTCATCCACCCACTGCGGCTGGCAGTATGCACATTTGATTGCCCGTGAGACCCGCGCATACAGTGTGTGTGTGTGTATTTTGGTTTGGTTTTTGAGTTGGGTTCAGGAAAAACCATGACTCAGAGATGAGGTATTTTTGTTAGTGTTTTTGTTTTGCCCTGTGTCCATGTAAACTCAAATGAATGCCTTGTGAACTGTGACACTGTCATTTATTTCCATCAATTTGCTCATTTCATGTTCGTGATGATATGGCCACTGACAAAACATGGCTCTCTCTGAATGTGTGTGCACTCTTCTGTCTCGGTTCTATCTGCTTCAGCTTTTCTGTCTATTCTCCCTGTTTATTTTTAGGCTACCTCATTGTTCCATTCCAGACAATAAGATACTTGTTAGAGTGTACTAGTTGCTGTGCGTGAGAGTGTGATTGAGCTGGATGTTCTTATTTAGAAATGCAGAAGTGTTTGTTTGTGTTATGTGTGAGTATATGTTGCATGAGAGAGAGAACTTTCACTACATCATTCAACTTAATGAATGACATTATCACAATTACTGGCACCATTAGTCTTGTCCGTCATCATAATTTACCTTGAAGAAGGATTAATTAAACCAAAAATGTGTTTTTTATTTATTTATTTACTCACCCTAATTGTTTTCAAACCTGTATGACTTTTTATCCTTTTGTGGAACACAATAGAAGATATTTTGAATTGGTGACCATTGACTTCCATTTTATGAACAAATAAACATAGGCTTTTCCCAAAATATCTTCTTTTATGATCTACAGAAGAAAGTCAAACGAGTGAACTATTCTTTTTACTGGCTTTAATTGTTACCTCTTTAATTTATTCCATTTTAATTTAAATTAATCAATTCTTTTACTCCACACTGTTATTTCATTTCCGCAGAAGTTGTTTTGAATGATATAACGTACTTATTTACACGATGTACTACTGTATATCGTATATATGATTTGTTAAAGAATGGTAATGTCTCGGGTACAACAGGTTTTGTTTTACTACTTGGATTTGGAGTTTTCAATTAAGCAAAATATTTCATAGTGTCGCGGATGTCCTCTTATGGTGTTGCTGCTAGCATGCTTTAGCATGTTAACTAACCTGAGTTCAAGTTTGAAACTAGTACTCAAAACGTCCATTTACATTGCTTATACTATTATATAGAGCAATGCAGAATTTTGTTATTTTGCTCTTTTTTTACTTTTTCATTATTTCTCTGTGTACACTATATGAACAAAAAAATGTTAAAGTGCCCCTTTTATAGTTTTTCTAATATTCCCTTTCTTGCAGTGTGTAATATAGCTGTCTAAGAACTGTTCTACAAAGTTGTACAGTCGAAAGTGCATGATAAATAAAGTTATTATATCCCAAAAGAATCGACTCTGAACCTGTCTAGAGTCATCAGGGATTCAAATCCCACTGCGTGATTGTTCTATGTCACTAGAAAAGACATTTGCATAATGTCCATCTATTTTGCATGTTGTCCTCCTGCGAACAACTTGAACCGCCCTCAAACACGTTATTTTGACGACTCGTCAAATCTCGGAGTTCAATGCGGGATTGGCAAAAACTTTAATATATTTTAAAATATGGCAATATATTAAAGGGTTAGTTCACCCAAAAATGAAAATTCTGTCAGTATTTACTCACCGTCATGTTGTTCGTTCATCTTCGGAACACAAATTAAGATATTTTTGATGAAATCTGAGAGCTGGACCACTCTGGACCATACTAGTCCATTGGCTTCTTGGGGAATTGAAACTTGCCATCCTCAAAGTTATTAAAGACATCGTTAAAATAGTCCAAGTGACTTCAGTGGCTCAATCTTAACTTTATCAAGCGACGAGAATACTTTTTGTGCAGAAAAACAAACAAAAATCCCGACTTTATTTCAACTATTCACTTCCTTCACTAGTCAGTTGACGTAGTGTGATGGCCAGTGGTGGAGGAAGTACTGAATCTCAGTACTTAAGTAAAAGTACAAATACCCAGATAAATATTTACTTTAGTAAAAGTAGAAGTAACACAATGACAACCATACTTAAGTAAAAAGTAAAAAGTACTTTATTTTAAATGTACTTTAAGTATTAAAAGTAAAAGTACTTGCATAACAATTTATTATCTTAATGTCTATTTTCTAATGATTAATAAAACATTTAATTCTAACTCATTCAACCTAATAGCCTACTCCTATAATAATGTTCAATAATGATGGAAAAAAAATGTCACCATTTCTGAAACAAGCTTGCAATTAGGCAATATCATGCTTATCCTTACTATATGTTTAATAACTATGTTTGGCAGTACACGCGATTCATTTATGGTGTAATTCTGAACCTCTTGGCTTGCCATAATCCTAACCAAACGTATATTACTCACGGTGTGTTTCCTATGCATGTAAAAACTAATTTTCGCGTATGAGTTGCATGATAAACACACTGCGTGCAAGACGCATTTAGTGACCGGGTTGATATACTGTATCTATGGCAACCAAACGTCACTGGTGAGACAAACGTGCAACGAACGGACGGTCAGATTACGTTTTGTCAGGGGAAAAACTGATCAGAAAATGTAACGAAAATGTAACAGAAGTTGTAGAAATGTAGTGGAGTAGAAAGTATAATAATTGCTGCAAAATGTAACGAAGTAAAAGTAAAAAGTAGGCACTATTTATTGTACTTAAGTAAAGTAAAGATACGTGAAAAATGTACTTAAGTAAAGTAACGAAGTATTTGTACTTCGTTACATTCCACCACTGGTGATGGCGTAGAGCTACGTCACACATAGGCTCACTATTGGCCAACGCTGGTCATGTTTGTGATGCGTGTGACGTACAACAACAGAATTAGTAACCTGACTCGAGGCAGAGAGAGAAGTAAATGAATAGTTGAAAAAGTTGATAAAGTTAAGATTGAGCCACTGTAGTAACTTGGAGTATTTTAACGATGTCTTTAATAACTTTGAGGCCGGCAAGTTTCAATTCCTCAAGAAGCCTATGGACTAGTATGCGCAGGAGTGATCCAGCTCTCAGATTTTATCAAAAATATCTTAATTTGTGTTCCGAAGATGAACGAAGGTCTTACGGTGTTGGAACAACATGAGGGTGAGTAAATACTGAAAAAAATATCTTTTTTGGGTGAACTAACCCTTTAACTATTGAAACTGTGAGAGCGAGCAGGCTATATGGATGTCCATCCTCTCCTCTTTTCTTTTTTGTAACTTTTATTTTTTCCTTGTTGTTGCTTTTTTCTAAGGTCAGTTCTCTTTTGTGAGGATGTCAGAGTGGTGGCCCTGTTGTCTCTTTCTCTCTCTCTCTTGTCTGTGTGTGTGTTGGGGGAGAGAGATCTGGTGCTGTTGTGTAATGCAGTGTATTATTCTGAGGGGGCGGAGGGCCTGTGATCTTAACAATGCAGCAGTGAGTGCAAGTCTCCAGATGGCCATTCACTGTCCTCTCTGACCACACAGCAGGAGATACCAGCAGCATCCCCAGG